ACAGATAGAGAAAGGGTTAAAGGAGGAAAACAGAGAGAGAGAGAGGGTTGGGGGAACAGGGAGAGAGAGAAAGAGAGATGAGAGAGGGTTGGAGAGAAAGAGACAGAGAGAGAAAATAGTGAGAGATACATAGAGGTTTGGAGATAAAAAAAATAGAGNGTGTGGGGGGGGGGTTGTAGAGGAAGAGACAGAGAGGGAAAATAGTGAGAGATACATAGAGGTTTGGAGATAAAAAAAATAGAGAGAGTGTGTGTGTGTGTGTGTGTGTGAGAGAGAGAGAGAGAGTGAGAGAGAGGGTTGGAGAGAAAGAGACTGAGAGGGAAAATAGTGGGAGAAATGTAGAAGTTTGGAAATAAAAAAATAGAGAGTGTACGTGTGAGAGAGAAAGAGTAAGAAAGAGAGAAAGAGAGAGAGAGAGAAAGGAAGGAAGGAAGGAAAGAAGTAAGAGTCATTAAAGGAATGAGAGTGATTGAGGGGACGAGCAGAATTTGAGTGAGAAGAGAGTGTCTGAATGAAAGTGAGTGAATAACATTCAGTTATATTGGAAAAACAGGGAACGGAGGAGCTTGAGAAAGAAAAGTGGCGTGAGAGAGCGAGTCAGAGTGTCAGTGAGTGAATGAGTGAAGAGAGTGAGAGAGAGGCAGAGAGGGAATGAGAGAAGAGAGAGAGAGACAAAATAGAGGAATGAAAAGTCACACGTTCAGACACAAAGCTGGCAAATCGGCAATTATAAAAATAACAAAGAAGATCGAAAACTGTAAAATACGATAAGGACTATAATTTGATATTTAAAGATATTCTAAAACTTCCGAACCAAAATTTTATTTTGATTAGCTTATTTCTTGTTCCTCCCATTCTCAAAATTTCAATCTTACTTCGTACTCGATAACAAACCAAATTGTTTATAATAGATTCGCGATTTGCCTCGTGAATTTATGCCTTCCTCCCATGTAATTTGTGAAACATGGAACAAATATGATTTTGCATTGCGAATAGAATAGCTAAAATTTGTTGTTGATTAAGTTTGAGATGTCGAGATAATAATTTGGAAATTCGATCAAAAATTCTTCTTTCTTAGTCATGTCTGCTATAGCATGCTCTATGAATGATTTATTGTCCGTTTTTGAGCTATCATATTTAATCATATTAAATGATAGACAATAAAAGTGCATGGGGACGTTTCATGAACCGACTATGAAACACTACTAATTTTATCAGAATTTTTAAATTGTCTTCGATGATTGGTCCGACATGTCATGACATGTCATATAGCTGTCTGGTTTAGTATGGTGGTGATTGTCGTTCGTGGCTTTTGTATAATTGTCAACACTCTTGTTTTTCCCACTGGCTAACAAAAGTGAAGTTTGTACTATGCTCTGCACAAACGCTCGTGCACTATCTAAAACTTTGTAAATCATTTTCCGCTAGCTATAATTCTTCGCGAGTCATGTAATCGCAGATTTCGTAAGAGCAGTTGGCTGTCTTTTATCGCGGTGAATTGAATTTAGCTTTCTACGACCGTTTTACGCGGAGGAAAATATACGGAAAGGATTATTTTGGTAGCGGGGAAGTCATGCGGGGCCCTAGGTCGGAAGCGGCGAACCGTGACTTCATTAGTCGGCCCCGGGGCGTCATCGTGACAACACTCCATCCAGGCGTCGTACTGCTGAAATGTGAGTTTTTCGTCGGTTTCTCCTTTCCCTACGAGTCACTGGGTGGTTTTGCGCGTAAGGTCTCGATTTTTGTGGTATTTCCGAAGCCGTCCGACGCCCCATGAATGTCAATTGTTCTTCCGCGACAGGAAGTCGTCCGTTGTGGAATGTTCTTTGGTTCGGCCTGAAAGAAGGTCGTCATCCCATTTCCACTAACAAAAACAAACGTTTTATTCGGCTTCCCAATTTTTAAAATACATGGCCAGCTCGTGACCAACAGCCAATTCATTTATCTTAACGCAAAATCCAATAGTTTCAACAATATCCTTATAATATTGATAGTCAACCACAAACTGCATCTTTCTTTTAAATCTCCCAATTTTAACACTGCTTTAAAAATAATTCCATATTCGAATTTCTAACAAAACAAGTTTATTTCTCAATAAAGAAATAAAATATTATCGGAAAATAAACTAAAATCTTTTGATAATACAAATAAGACTCTTTTTAAGTCATACTTTTTTCACTACCTATCTCTACATTCTGCATTTTTCTCGCTGTGTAACATTTTTCTCCTATACCAATATCTCATGTCAAATTTATGAAAATTGACGAACCTCTAACTTTTTCTCTTCGTGGATCTCTCACTCTCTCTCCCTGATCTCTCTCTTTTCATATCTATCTTTTTAGTCTTTTCAACATTATCTGCACATTTCTTCTCTTTCCATAACCCTTTATTTTCACTTCTATCATCTCGTACTCTGTATCTCTATATGTCTCTTTCCGTCTTTCTCATTATCTCTGTCTTTTTCTCTTTCTCTCTCTCTCACCCTCTCCATCTTTTGTTCTCTCACCCTTCTTTCTGTCTCTTTCGTTCTCTCTCTCTCACCCTGGTCTCTCTCTTTTAATATCTCCCTTTTTCGCTCTTTCCAACTCTATCTACAGGGTGTCCCAGTTCCTTCTGATGAAACTCAGGGAATCGATTCTACTCTTCGTTTGGAACAAAAAATGCTCAGGAGAAAATTTTCGGAAAGTTCTCTATTTTGAAGATATTCGTCAATTTAGGTTTTTTCAACTTTTTACTACCTTACCACATAAAAACGCTTACAACTTCCAAAATGTTGAGAATACAATAAATCCAATTACACCATTTGAAATAACGCTAAATTTGCTGTAAGTTACTTCTATTTCCATTAATCTGAATGATATAAAATGTCAGCCAATATCAGTTGGAACATGTCAAAATTACAAAATTTAAAATTTTGGTCATGATTGTACGTTCTACTGAGGTTACAAAAAAATACCTACAACTTGTCAAATTTCACAAAAACTTTTCCATCTAATATGCTTTACGTTGATATATCCAGGTTTTTAAATAACGTTCTAGTAGAGTTGAAAAATAACAATTGGAAGTTCGAAAACGTGAGCTAAGGTAAATTGGAGGGGGGGGGTAGAAATAAGGGTTCTAGAAATATTAATATTATTTTACAAAACGAGTTCTAATTGATTTATTTCTAAGTTTTTGTAAGCTCAGTAGAACGTGCAGTCATGACCAAAATTTTAAATTTTGTAATTTTGACATGTTCCAACTGATATTGGCTAACATTTTATATCATTCAGATTATTGCAAATAGAAGTATCTTACAACAAATTTAGCGTTCTTTCAAATGGTGTAATTGGATGTGTAGTCTCAACATTTTGTAAGTTTTTATGTGATAAGGTAGTGAAAAGTTGAAAAAAACTAATTGACGAATATCTTCAAAATAGTGAACTTTCCGAAAATTTTCTCCTGGGCATTTTTTCCTCCAAATGAAGAGTAGAATCCCTTCCTTGAGTTTCGTCAGAAGGAACTGGGGCACCCTGTATATATTTATTTTCTTTCTACAACTCTTTCGTTTCCGTTCAGTCATCTCGTACTCTCTATGTCTGCCTCTTTCCGTCTTTCTCTTTCTCGTTCGTTCTCTCTCTCTCTCTCTCTCTCTCTCTCTCTCTCTCTCTCTCTCTCATTCACTCTGTCTCACCCTCTCCCTCTTTCACCCTCTCACTCTTCTCTCTGTCGCTCTCGTTTTCTTTCTCTCTCTCTCTTTCTCTTTCTTTCTCTCCCTCCCTGATCTCTCTCTTTTAATATCCCTCTTTTTCACTCTTTCCAACGCTATCTTCCTTCTTTCTTCCTTTTCCTTCTATCATCCCGTACACTCTATCTCTATCTGCCTCTTTCCATTTTTCTCTTTCTCGTCGTTCGTTCTCTCTCTCTCTCTCTCTCTCTCTCTCTCTCTCTTTTTCTCTCTCTCTCTCTTTCTTTCTTTCTTTCTTTCTTTCTTTCTTTCTTTCTTTCTTTCTCTCTCTCTCTCTCTCTCTCTCTCTCTCTCTCTCAGACTCTCAGACACACACACACAAATAAACCCATACACATGCACGTGTACCCAGCAGCTCATATGCTCTTTCTCTAGCGAAATTAAAATAGCCATGCACCTACAGACCTGAACTAGATTTAAATTAAATGACTTAATTATGTTAACAGTGTTTTTATTCTAATTGATTTATTAGGTAATATTTTAAAAAATGGGGAAAAAAGGAAATCCAATTTATTAAATGTTTTTCCTCAACTTAAGCGATGGACTGTCTGCAAATTGGCAACTTAGCCATGATTGATCAGCGAGCCGCGCCAACAATGTTATATATTTGCTCACTGGTTTTTAAGCATCACAATTTTTGTTTTTACTTTTTCAATGGATTTCTTGTTAGTTACTAAGATTAACACATACATTATAAGCGAGAACAATTTGGAAAATATAGAAATCGTGCATAAATTGTTTTTAAAGTTAGAAATTTGAACAAATATTAGGTTTTTAGTTCAAAGAAGAAATTCAAAAGGAAACGATTTCCTGTTTACTCCCCCGTGACCGTGATTCCAAAAATACATGAGTTGATTAATGAATTACTTACTCGTGTAAATTTACATTTTTAATTGAACATAACTTTTCAATTTTGAAGATTTTCATTTAGCTTAAAAGTTAATTACATTGAGTCACATCTTTCTACTTTATTACGGCCAACATTTTTATAAGTAGAAGAATTTTTATTTCAAAGCCCATGTTTGAGATTTAAAAACTCTTTTTTTTTAGTTTACTTAGGAATTTTATTATGAAAGTTGTACAAAACTCTCCAAATATATGACTTGTGCAATTTTTTTTTAAATAATTGAATCTATTGAAATTTGATGATATATTTAAGATAAAAATTATTTATGCAAGTCATCATTAGCCTAATGAATCCTATGCCAGTTTTTAAGCATTTTAATTGCAATTTTTGAAGCTTGAAATAACAGCTCCGCATTTTTGTTTCTAGATGAACCAAGATGCAACTCAGGCTCTTGGGAAGAAAGCCCGCACGAACAATCTCGCCGAAGCTCTTGCTCAGATGTCGACTTGTCCTCAGGAGATGAAAGCAAGTATGTCGATCGGTTATCTTTATTTTCTGTTGTTTCTTCTCCTCCGAGTTGAAATGGAATACTGCAATTTAACAGATACGGTTTTGGTTCCAGGGGTTTGGACGGCAAAGGCCGGCCAGGGTCGAAACGAGGGATCTGGAGGAAAAGTTCCCCAGAGCCTGGAGGAGGCAGCACATCGATAGGCCGCCTTTCGAAGCTTTTTTCAAAAAAGAAATCCCTCCAGGCCATCGAGGCCGAACCCAGAGGAAAAATGCCTTTACTACCTGAGGTTGGTGAATATAATTTATATAATTAATTACTGTGGAATGTAGAATTATTGGTTCTTGCAATTTTATGAAACAAAAATTATGCTGCAAAGTCCAGTATGTTCTTTGACTGTCTTCCTTCTTCCTTGTTTTGATTCCTGACAGATTTTTGATTATATCTTCTTCCAATGGCATCTGCTTTTCCATTTTCATCAATTAATGCATGTTAAGACCCTGTGAAATGCTACTTGAACGAATAGCGTCCATTTCTCAATTGGGTGAATGCTCAAATGTTCTGAGTATGGTATTTTATGACCTAAACAACATGACATCCCAGCAGCTTCTTCAATTCTCATACGAGTCTACCAGCAGATCAAATCTTTCCTTCAAGCCTTTTTAAGTCATTCCTTAAATCCATCTTTTATTTCGTTTATGGTCTCTCAACTTTGTCTCAGTTTTCTTGAGTAATAATCGAATATTTGTAATTTCGACTTTTCCAATCATTTGCTCTGTCAGACACATTTCAGGTCAAAATAAGATATACAAAACTAAAAATCACCTTAAACATGATTGTAAAAACCAATTTTTTTTCTTTCATTGTTTTCAATTTTATGTTAATTTTTTGTTTTTGTACATAAATTATTATTATTTTTATTTCATAGGAAGAAGAGTGCAATATGACACATAGGAGAGTCATGTCTCCGAGTTTACCACCTCCCCCACACAATCTCAGCCCTCAGCAGATCAAAACGAGGCATATAGTCGAGGCGATAGTGCAATCCGAAAACTCTTACCTTGCCACATTAAGAAAACTAGTCCATGTAAGTCAACAATTTTTTTTCTTATTATTTATTCAGAATTTAATAATAAAAAAAAACAATTAACAGGAGTATAAGAAACCACTAGAAGAATCCAGCCCGGCATTGTTAAGCCCTGGAAAAATCCAAACTATATTCCACCGTCTTCCTGAGATACTCCAGTGCCATACGCTCTTCAGCATCGCGCTTGCTGAAGCAGTGGCAAACTGGGACCAAGAACACAGGATAGGCGACGTTTTTGTCGCATCATTTTCAAAAGCAGTAGTTCTCGACATTTACAGCGATTTCATCAACAACTTCTCCCTCGCTATGGATGTTGTGAGAACAGAGACCAAAAAGAAACCCGCTCTAGCTGATTTTTTCAAGGTTTGTTGTAATTTAAAAATAAAAAAATAAAATAAAGTTTTGTTTATTCTTTTAAATTTATTTTCAGACTAGGCAGAACAGTTCACACGATCGTCTTTCATTTTTCGGCCTGATGGTCAAACCAGTCCAAAGATTTCCTCAGTTTATACTTTTTCTTCAAGTCAGTCTCATTTCAACGAAACATTTCTATGACCAACTCCATGAAAATTAAGATAATTTTTTTTAAATAATTCCACAGGACCTTCTTCAAAATACCGGTCACGGTCATCCAGAAAGAATGGTTCTCCAGCTTGCGCTTACCAAACTTGAATCGCTCGCGGAGCTTCTGAACGAAAGGAAGCGTGAGGCAGAACAGGCTCAAGCTTTTAGACAAATGATGAGATGTGTTTCCGCCAAGATGCCGACAGCTGCACAGCACAAGTACCTCATTAGGCATGATGATGTTACCCAATTAGTAAGTAAATATTACTCAAATCTCGCAAAAAAAAATTTAATGCGTTTGATTTTATTAATAGGAAGTTAATTCATGCGGTATGATAAGCAAACTAAAGAACAGAAGGCTCCTCCTGCTAAATGACCAACTCGTCTGCGTAGCGCTTAGCAGCAAGGAAGAAAACGTAAACTCACAGCTTCGGCTCACTTTCAAATGGAGCTGCTCGATAAATGACGTTCAGGTCATTGAAAGCTCAGGCTCACCCACGCTGAGCCGCCTTCTGACACCAAACGGAAGTCTTGCTTCCACCAACTCGTCAGGAACTTCAGACAGCCTTTGCATGGAAATGAGTCAACTCATGCATGATTACCAAGTCATCAGCAGGATCCACGATCTGACTCACAACCTCAAAGGCCAATACCAGGTAATTATTAAAAATAAATTTCAAAGACGAACAGTTTTATTGCTTTTCTAAGCTTGTTGAAAGTGACTCATGTTTTTCTTTAATATCTAATACTTTTATTACAGTTTCAGTGAAGTGCCTTTAAAATTTATTAACAAAAACTATAGGGTGGCAATTTTTTTAATATTTCAGCTATAGCACCTCTTTCTCTCTTTCTTTGTACATACTTTAAAAAAATTCCTCAATTATTGTATGTTGCTTTTTTAAAGAAATTTTTCATTTTTCTGCAAAAATGACCATTTCAAGAGTAAAGAAGAAAATTGATTTATTTCTTATGTCTAAAAACTATTTAGAATCATGGAACTTACCCCAAATTAGCTTTCTTCTCCAGCTCAATATTTTGCCAAAGTTTAGAAGGTTTATCCTCTTAGGGAAACGGTCCATTGCTCAAATGGAGTAGTAGCCTGAAGGTGCGTGGTCAGGACAATTTGGTGCATTACATCCATGATTATAAAACAGCTTGTGTGTACTGTATAATGTCCTGTTCCTGTATCTCGGTGGTGTGTCCTTCATTGTAAATTATTGTACAATTGAGATTGTTTTGATACTAGTAATTAGATTGCTAGGACTAGGAGTGCTGACTCCTCTTTACGACCTTGCGCACCGTGACCAATATTAGTCAATTGAGCAACAACATTAGCTAGAGCTCTTTCTTAAGCTTAAAGCATTTTACCAGCTCGAAGAGTTTTGTTAAGGCATCACGTATCCTTTTAGTGGGGAATACACTTACCTGATGCAATACAATGCAACATGACCCGGAGCCCCCTGATGCCAATCCGATGTCCAATTTTCCCAGAAGATTGAAATATCCCCATGCAAATTTTCATTACGACACACAACATTTGCTTATTCTATGCTACGCAATGCAACAAGTTTCCAAGAACAGATGTGCATACCCTACCAAAACAGACAAGGTGTTGGGTAATGTCGCATTGCGTGGCGTGGACTTGCTGTTGAACAGATGTGCACACCCTACCAAAACTAGACAAGGCGATGGGTCACATTGCGTTGCATAGCGTGGACTTGATGTCGAACAGATGTGCACACCCGACAAAAACGAAACGAAGTGTCGGGTCATATCGTGTTGTGTGGCATGCACTTGATGTTGAACAGATGTGCACAGCCTACCAAATCAGATAAAGAGTCAGGTCATGTTGCGTTACGTGGTGTGGGCTTGATGTCGAACAGATGTGCACACCCGACAAAAACGAAACGAAGTGTCGGGTCATATCGTGTTGTGTGGCACGCACTTGATGTTGAACAGATGTGCACAGCCTACCAAATCAGATAAAGAATCAGGTCATGTTGCGTTGCGTGGTGTGGACTTGATGTCGAACAGATGTGCACATCCAACAAAAACGAAACGAAGTGTCGGGTCATATCGTGTTGTGTAGCACGCACTTGATGTTGAACAGATGTGCACAGCCTACCAAATCAGATAAAGAGTCAGGTCATGTTGCGTTGCGTGGTGTGGACTTGATGTCGAACAGATGTGCACACCCGACAAAAACGAAACGAAGTGTCGGGTCATGTCGTGTTGTGTGGCACGCGCTTGATGTTGAACAGATGTGCACAGCCTACCAAATCAGATAAAGAGTCGGGTCATGTTCCGTTGCGTGGTGTGGACTTAATGTCGAACAGATGTATTTGCTCACCCTATCAAAATAGACAAGGTGTTAGGAAGTGTTGGGTCACATCTCATTGTGTGGCATGCACTTGATGTCGAAAAGATGTGCACACGCTACCAAAACTAGACAAGATGTTGAGTAGTGGCGGGTCACATCGCATTGTGTGGCATGCACTTGATGTCGAACAGCTGTGCTCACCCTACTAAAATGAGACAACGCATCAGGTTATGCCGCATTGGGTGGTGTGAGCTTGTTGTTGAACAGATGTGCACACCCTACCAAAGCAGACAAGGCGATGGATCACATTGCATTGCATAGCGTGGACTTGATGTTGAACAGATGTATTTACTCACCCTATCAAAATAGACAAGGTGTTAGAAAGCATTGGGTCACATCTCATTGTGTGGCATGCACTTGATGTTGAACAGATGTGCTCACCCTACCAAAAGAGACAAGGCGTCAGGTCACATCGCAGTGCATTGCATCTAGTAGTGTGTTCCTTACTTTAGGCCTTGTCTTGACCTCTCCCAGGAGTAGGAATATCATCTTGCACAGGTCTTCATACCAATAGTGGTCTGCTTTCTCTTCTTCTTCCCATCAATATCTGCACAGGCTTCTGCTGCTCTGAGTCTATACATATGACTGGAGCTTTCAGTGTCCAGTAAGCAGTCCTACTATCATTCTTGTTCTAACATGCCTTAAGTTTAGACCAGCATGCTGTCAAATATATTCGCCGTATGAATTGTCAAAGCCCACAAAAAAGTGAAACATGACAAAAATCCCTGAGTGATGAACGAGTTGGTTATGGCATCCGACTCATGTATTTGCAATTTCATTCGAGGATAATTTGAAAAAGTATTTTCAAGTGGTCTGGCCCCTTTCCGCAACGCCCAAGATTTAATGGAGGTCAAGCCTTGCTCTCTTTTTGTTATTAACAATCAATTATACAAAATTTGCTCAGAGAGTGGCAGTCAATTTTCTTCCTTAATTGCATACCAAAATTTGGTGTCATTTCCAATAGCAAATTTAGAATTATACTGTACCATTACATTGGAAGTGGATTAACAGTGGATAGGAAAAGAATTAATAGCATTTATCAATTTTTTTTAAATGGTCCTTTTTTTCTACACCCCTGTATATTTTTACAAATTGGTTCATTTTTGCTTTAGGAACCTTTTTTATATAAAAATTATTAACATTATGGTACAATAAATTTTTAAAATTTGACATGGTACTTATTTACTTAGGGATGTTTCACACTTCATTTAACTCTATTTTGATTATCGTACCTTTTCCTGTAATATAATATATAAGTTTATTTTAAAAGTAACATTGAAATATGAAATTATCTTAATTATACAATGAATTGGAATAAAAACCAAGTGTAAGATCAAAATAAATTTAGTTAAATTTATTAAATCCATTTTAAATAAACTTAATCCGATATTATCCATATTTCCATTACAATTAAATTAACTTAATTCTATATTTCTTCAATATTCCTGATTTTTTCCTATTTTAATATTTTTGCTTATAATTAAGGTAGTTTTTATTTCCCTCAAAATTATTGGCCTCTTTCTTAATTTTGTCTACTACATCTGAATTTATTATCAGAATATCTTTTTTTTACAACTGGTCCTAGCCTCTGAATTTGTTACAGCATAGCCCTCCTGGTAGAAACCAAACAACCCACCATGAAAATTCGTTTACCGATCCCCTCGGGGTGAGTGGGTGTTCTGGAATTTTTTTCATTTTTATTTCAAAAGCCAATTCTTTCTCTTTTATATTTTCTTTCAAAATGCTAGATTATTAAACTGCCTGAATTAGGCTTTTTCTCATTTGTTGATATGCACTTTCATTTTTAGAAACTTTATCGTGTTTGTCTTGTATGTAGTTCTTTTCCTTTTTGCTTTTGGAAATTGTGTTTGTGTTTTTTTCATTATTTTGTTATAGATTTTCTATTTGCAAGATTATTATTATTATTATTATTATTTGTACTGAACCGTCAGCCACCTTTATATTGTGACTGTAGTTAAAATTAAATCAATTTAATTGACCAACACATTAAATTTAGGCTGGGCAATATAAAGTTAACAAAGAGACTTAACGTATTAAAAGCTTACAACTTAGAAATATGAATTATCTTGTTATGTTGGCTATTTGGTTTTGCATGATGTGGTTAGACTTGTCCTAGAGGCACGTCTTTGTTTATTAAATATAAATTTAACAATTTAAATATTCCTTTTTGTTTGTTAAGGAAGTCAATGCTGACATTACAAGAAGCCTTTTAGATAACATTCAGAGGGAAATTCAGCGTAAGGACGAACAGATGGCTTGGCTAGATTCTTGCTGTCTTCAAGTCATGTTACGAGGAAAAGACGAGACTTATACATTCCAAATGAACAGCCAAGAAGCGAGAAAGGAATGGATAACGGGTAGGTTTGATGATTGTTTTTGTTTTGTTGAAATTTTAAGCAAGTTTTTTTCTTCTAGAATTAAGACTTGCTCGTCTAGCTCTGGACACGAATAATTCACCATCGTGGGAAGTCCCTGAGCAGGAGCTTCGGCCTTCGACAAAAATGCCTCTTTTCGTCGCCGCACATCCTGTCTACACATCAGACCCGACCTCAGAGGTGAATATCAAACTCCGTCGAGCATTCAAGTTTTCAGGCTAAGCTCCAAAAACAAAGAATTTACAGGTCATGTGTGGCTGCTACTACAGCACGACGTGCGGAAAAACGGGCTATCTCTGGGTATGCACGTACGACGGGAACGACAGTCACATTTCAATCGCTCAAACCTGGCAGACTTCCCTCAAAGCCTTGACCCAATTGCAGATCACTGGGACCAAAGTTACGGCGATGGAGTACGTGAGGAGTATGGACACCGTGTGGTTAGGAACAGCAAACAATAGGTTTGTGCTTACTGATTCAAATAACATAAAGTTGTAAAATAAGTCCATAGCATCAATGTACAATTCTGATACTTATAAGCAACATATGAATCATTTTGTTTTGCTATCTGTTGCCATTTGCCCATTTTCTATGTAATTTTCTAATTCCATCCTCCTAGAAAACCTTAGGAATTAATTGAATTTTCCCTACTTTTTGCCTTTTTGTCGCCGAGAATCAAATAGATTACACGACATTTGAAAAATGGCAAAAAGGAGGTTCAAACTGAGGTTGAGATGGGAAGTTAGTGCCCGAGGTGGTCGAAGTCACGATAGCTCAAGTGGTAGAGTAGCGGCGTATCAAGCCGAAGGTCGTGGGTTCGAATCGTGACACTGACTTTTTTACCTCAACTTAAAAAAAACCTTAATTAATTGAATTTTATGTTTGTTTGAAATTGATTATTCTGGTGTGTTTTGCACCACAAACATCACTATACTCATCACAAATTTTCTTGGCAGTCTGAGTGATTTTTCCATTTGCAGTAATAAAAAAAAAAAATTGAAATTTTGAAAGTAGACTATTTTTACTCCATGTTAAATTAGCAAAACCCTTGTAAAATTGTGAGATCTCAAATCAAACTGACCAATAAAAACACTTTAACGAATTGCTTTTCAGAGTGTGTAAACAAAAATGACTAAAGCATTGTTTCAAAGCACAAGAGGTATAAAACCGAATTTTGGAAAACTGCTACAGACTTATTTTGCAACGCAATAAATTGTTAATGGCAATATTTAACATTCAGATTCAATGATTGCAGGCTATTGATGTACTCAGTTTGTGAAATTGAAAGACCGGAATTATCGAACAGCCTCCAAATCGACGGAGATGTGATATCTATTAAAGTTCACTGTGATAATGTTTTCATTTCGTTAATGACTGGGAGGCTGTTGATGTTCAGGAGGCATTCAGTCGTTACAGAACCGGAGGAAATTTGCCTTGGCTCTGATCCCGTAGCTTGCATATTACCAATAAACCTTTCAATTTATGCTGCTACAGGGAAAACAATAACTGTAATAAGTGCCATCACCGGCGAGCTACAGGTACAGCAACAAAAATCTACTAAAACAAACACTAAAAATAGAAGTGACCTTTTTTTTCTTTTAGAAAACCTTTACAGTTCAACATGATCATCTTGGTGGACATATCAGCTTGATGGCACATTCTGGTGTTGGGTTATGGCTCGCTTTGGCTAATTCTAGTACAATATGCCTCTACCATACAGAAACATTCAAGCATTTACAAGTAAATATTAATCAGTAAATTCACTAATTTCGTGGTCCGCTTGACCAATTAATTTATTACAATTAATTAAGGTTTTTAGTTGAGATAAAAAAGTCAATGACACGAGCGGGACTCGAACACACGATGTTCGGCTTGATACGCTGCTGCTCTACCACTTGGGCTATCGTGAGTTCGAACCACTCGGACACCAACTTCCCATCTCAACCCCACCTTTTGAATTTTCCCTCCTTTTTGCCCTTTTGACGCCGAGAATCAAATAGATTACACGACATTTGAAAAATGGCAAAAAGGAGGGAAAATTCAAAAAGGTGTGGTTGATGTAGGAAGTTAGTGTCCGAGTGGATCGAGGTCACGATAGCTCAAGTGGTAGAGCAGTGGCATATCAAGCCGAAGATCGTGGGTTCGAATCCCGCTCGTGCCATTGACTTTTTTATCTCAACTAAAAACCTTAATTAATTGTAATTAATCAGTAAATTTTTTGTTATGCGAATAATATAATATATATATTTTTTTTAGGATATTAATGTAGCAAGTAATGTTGTTCGGATAACGAGGTGTCAGGGGCCAGTTACAGTCACTGGTCTTATGGCTGTCAAGGGTCTTCTCTGGGTCGGTACCGATTCCGGCTTAGCGCTTACAGTGCCTCTACCGAGGCTGGAAGGCGTTCCGATTATTTCAGGCAGGGTAAACGTGTCGTACCACGGCCATTCGGGCCCGCTGTCTCTCCTTTTGCCTCTGCACGACCCTCCTACTGTCCACAAGCGTCCGGCGTCCAAAGCGCTCGCATCCGATGTCTACGGGCTATACGGCCAGCTCATGTACGTCAAGGATTATGAAGAGACTGAAGCGGAATGGACTCAAGTCAGCAGGCCCGATACCATGTCGAGGAACGAGTCGAAACGCGAGCACACGCTTATTACAATAACGGGTGGCCAGGGTTATATCAACTACCAACAATGTTGCTATAAAAACATTACTAATCTCGCTCATGTAGTCATTTGGGAAATGAAACTTTAGTGTGTCACGGTCAATTCTGCCAGGGCTTAAAATTTTACAAATTTCTAGTTTTTTTGCTCGAACTTTTGAACAAAGCCTATGCACAATTTTCTATATATATTTTTATGTATAGTTAATTTGGTGTGTATAACTTTTTATTGACGGTGTATTGTAGTCCTCTTAGAAATAAATACAGTTTTTAATGTTAATTACAACTTATATATTGTTTTGTTGTTTTTAACATATTTTATGCAAAAAATTAACCAAATCTTTTTAGTTATTTAATTTATAATTCTACCAATTAATTAGTCTTTTGTTTTGTAATTAAATACCGTTTTCATTTTGTTCCCTTGCATAAACGCTTAAAATACATTTTATCCGTGTATACTCTGGCTAGGTGCTATATTTCAAGTTGTTTTTTCATTTTGTTCAGTCTATCTTTTTGTACATGGAAGTGTAGAGATGTAAATAATTTGAGTTAGATTTTTTTTTTTACATTTTATGTAAATAAAGCATTACCCTGTATTTATATTACCAAAACAAAATTATATTTGTTAAAAATAAATATAATTTGTATATAAAGGAAGTTGCACTAAATTAATGCTCTGTTGAAGGATGTTATTGAACTTGTAATTGTACTGTACCTGAAGGAATATAAATAAATTAACACTTCTGTCAAAAATGACTCGTTTATTTATTTATTGTTTTAAACCATTTTCTTACATTACCATCTTAACATTATGTAACTGAGGAAATTTTAATGATGATGTTAAAACATCACATCCTCGAGGAATTCAAACCTATGATAATGCACTGCAATAAATTTTATTCTCACAGAACAATAATTTTCACTGACTTGTATTGAACGCAAGATGTAGAGAAGCCATTCAATTCCAAATCATTTTTGGCTGCGGATAATGATAACATTTATAAAGCCCTCCTCACTTGTAAATTTAAATTGAAGAGCATAATTGGAAAAACAATAAATAAAAAATAAATTAAGAAAAAATTGGAAAAGAAAAGAAAAAGAAAGAAAGAGAGAAAAGGAAAGAAAAAGAAAGAAGAAAGAGAGAAAAGGATAGAAAAAGAAAGAAGAAAGAGAGAAAAGAAAAGAAGGAAAGAAGAAAGAGAGAAAAGAAAGAGACAAAAGGAAAGAAAAAGAGAGAAAAGAAAAGAAGGAAAGAAGAAAAATAGAGAGAAGGAAAGGAAAATAAAGAAGAAATCGAGGAAAGAAAAGAAAAAGAAAGAGACAAAAGGAAAGAAAGAGAGAAAAGAAAAAACAAACAAAGAAGAAAGAGAGAAAAGAAAGAAGAAACTTAAAAATCAAATTAAAAGCAAAAATTAACAAATAATTGTGAAATATTAATTGTAGGGCGCCCTGGCTAATCCCTATAATAGAGTGATGGCTAATTAGTAATAAAATTAATAATAACAAAGGTAAAAGAAAAAAAAAACTATTAAAAAGAAAAGTTAAATTATGCAGACTTGGTCACTTACTGGCTTTGTCTACTACACTCGTGGGTTTTTGATGTTACTCAAATGGGATTCGGCTTTGCACCATCAAAGCAGTTTGTGCAAAGATGGCCCCAAGGTGAAATGAATTTGAGTAACATAAAAAATGAGGGGCGTCAGTGGCCATAGCGGTTTAGAAATTGGCTCAGCACTCATCACTGTAAGGCAAAGGTCCCATGTTCTTATAAATGGGCTTTTTTCAAAAACACCGACACACCGGGGGTTCATATAACCTCATAGTTGAATCATGTGTGTAGATGAATCTGGTGTCGGTGTCCACCAACTCAGATCAACTCCCACCATCAACTATAAAGAAATGAGTAAACCTTAAAACAACCCTTCAAGAAAGGAGTGGTCAGAATCTAACAAATACTGTCCAACCCCATCAAATTTGAAAGATTTTGATGTGGATGGTGTAGAATACCAAATTGATGATATTGTAAAGGGAAGAGTTAAAAGGGAGTTTACTAATCTATATAGCCTGGTCAAAAATATCTAATTTGTTTAGTTTAATTTGTTTATTGTCTAGTTTTACTTATTTATAGTCTTGTTCTATTTGTTTATTGAATAACACATGGATATCAAAACCGTGCGAGCAACAAACACAGTGGATCAAACATTGTACAGTCGAATGTATGGTCTTACAGACGAACCCGGTGAGAACAGACAGAACAGGATGATCATTGATGAATAAGATGCAGTTTCATCAAAATAAATTTGATCAAAACGAAAATTGATTAATATGTACACCATTGTGGACCAGATTGATAAATTTAAGCGCACATCAAGCTAAATTTCAATGTATATAAGCAAATTGTTTCTTGAAAATAGACTTGACAATAAAATTATTTGTTTTGTAAGGGTAAGTTACAACCTTAGTTCCTCTTATGTTTTGCGAGATGATGAACCTGCAATTTGATCCTTACTAATCATCTTTATCTACATATCGTCTTCAGTCGGTCTAAGCAAACATACTCAGCACTAAAGATGCCAAATACGAAAATGCATGTGACGACCAACCGAGAGAGGGTAGGCAGACCAAGATGATTATGGATCAAATGTTATGTTATGATTATGTCAAAATTAGATCAAGGAATATGATAAAAGATCCAGAATACATGACCGATTTATTATGTATGATACAAACATCGTTGGAAATAGTATTATTTTAGGCATTGAAGTTTAAATTGGAATGAAAGTGCATCGATAATAAATCTGCCAAAAGTTTTATTTGGTTGGTTTTGCCTTGAACCGTACAATACTTTGGCTGTTCATGTCGCACTTGTCGATTGGCTCGAGTCCCAAGACGTTCATGGCGTCTTTGACTTTGGTTTCGAATTCTTTCATGCTATCTTTTGTCAGGGTGAAACAGTACATTCTGGTCTCGAGAAGAAGAGGGGCGTCCGGCTTCAGCATTTTCAAAACGTTTTCGTTGATCCTTGGTATCAAACCCTGTGCGAAGAACATCAAATCGAAGAAATCCCTGAACTTTTCCTTCTCTGGAAACACCTCCAAGGCGTTGAGAGGCAGGAAGTTGACGTTGTGCCTGGTCGGAATCGGCGCGTAGTCTTCTTTCGTTTTGATTATCTCCACATCCATGCCGTAGGCTTCGTTTTCCGTGTCGAGATTCGGCACCGCAGTCACAACGGTGCCCATGTCCCGGTCGCCGTCGACAAACTCCAGCTTGGAATCTGTTTCTATCTCGTGGAACAACCTCGTCAGATTCCTTTCGATCACGTCAGTCGCGCGTTTTCTGTAAACCCCGTTTTTCTTCTGGAACATCTCCTTGTCCTCGCATTCCGTACCGAAGGTGAAGTACGGTCCGAACTCCATGTCTCCGCAGAAGCCGTGGCTGTGGATCTTGTCCCCTTGAGGGAAGATACCCAGAGCCAGCGTCGGATTGGTCAAGCTGTATTCGGTTTCAAGCCAAGTGAAAGCCACCCCGGTGTTCCTCCATTGTTTGTACTCTATGGAGTTTATCACTTCGGTGCCTTCTTTCTCTTTCAGCTTCATGTGGTAATCCCAGTCGAAAACGCCCAGCTTGGCATCGTACCTCGTTTCCAGGGACTTTCTCAGCCTCAAATCCCAGTTTTTGATTATGTTGAAATCGTTGTCCGTCCAGTAGCGGAAGACCGTCTCGAGCTGGTCCTTCTCTTTGTACTTCATCAAATCTAAGGATATGCACGGCATCCGCCGTCTAAGGAAATCGGGGTCAGTCGCCATCTGGAGCAGCTGGTACGACTTTTGCACCAGGTACTCGGCAGAAGTGGGCCGCAAAAGAGAATTGCCGTACACTTCCATCCAGAGTCGGACCTTCTCCGAGAGGCCGAGTCTATCGCCCGGCTCCAGGGCTATCGTCATGAGGAGCATCTGCCTCGCCACCAACTCGACGAGGACGTCCAACGTGTAAAAGTTGACCACAACATCCGTTTCATGGGTGTAGACTTTCGAGAGCGTTTTCAGAATATGCCTCGCATCGGCAGCCCCCACGATCAAGACGTTCAGCTCCTTCTTACCTTGGAAAACGCCGTGTCTCTTTATCTCGTCGAGGAGGTCCAGAGCCGGACTGAACCCCCACAACATTCTAGAACGTCTCGAACTCCGATCTGAAAAACTATTCCTTACTCAGACGTGTTTACCGGTTACCATGGCTCTCTAGCAGTCCGCTCAAGACCGACCATACTCAACATACTCTATTTAATAGGAATTCCTATGAATCAAATTTTCTCTTTTCAGACAGAAAATTATTTTGTAATATCGTAATAAACAGCTGTATATTTTTTTGAAATTGTACCATTTTCGGACTTCCGTGTTTCTGAGTTTACAAAAGCTCCTTGCTTCGTTAAAACAGCCACTGAACCATCCATGATTTAAATGATTGTAAATTTTCTGAATTGGCAGTCTAGAAGCAAAATATTTTAAATACTACTGAAAAATGTTGAATTACGAACTTGGTAATTAGCCAATGGATGGAATCAAGGGAACAGAGGTCAAATCTTCATCAAAGAATACAGCATCATCATAAATCAAAGATTATCTTAAAATGATGCGTCTTTGGGTTGGTTGGTCGAAGGTAAGTGCTGACGAATGTGATGGCCATTATAAAAACTAACCCAGTCGATCAAGCCCGATTTCATAGTGAACCAGAATAAGAAGGACAGTACTTAGAATGGCTAAAATGAAATTGTTAAAACAATAGAGACTTTTGAAAAAGTTTAAAAATGTCTCTTTACAAAAATACCCGTGAAAAAGGTAGCAATGAGACTCAATGACCAACTTTTTAAAAGAAGTATCGAGTCAATTGAACTGAAGTAAACAACTAGGAAAATTACAAGCATTATCCACAAAAAAAAAGGACAAGCAGTAAATAGTTTAATACTATACAACATAAAATCCGGATCCTTTTTAATAAGCTAAGCAAGCTCCTATTGGCTTAATCCCTCTTTTAAGCCATTTGCACCTTTTTAATTATTAAAGCATGGAAAATTTTTGTTTATCGTCACTCCGCATATAGTTCGAAAGGATGGCAGTATTAAAAGATTATTCATTATTATAGAAGAAAATCCCTTTAAAAATTATTGGCCCTTTATTGTATTTAACGGGCACAGATTATCTCCAAACGGCGAAAGATTAAAACGGTTCGCTTAATCAAAAGGTTCAAAGGTTTCCATTCTAAAATTATCTCCAAATTTATATTATTATTTATAAAACAAATAGAATGTTTAGGAGAGAGTTTTTAATAACAATATCCTCATCAGATGAAGTATAATATTTTACTTTAAAAAAATAGATATAAAATTTAATAGAAAAGTTCTTTACATAGTAGCTAACCTTTAAGTAGAAATTCAAAAGCCAAAGTTGAAAGTGAAATATCGAGAAGAAAGGCCAGCCCGGCAAGTCCGGGTTATATAACATTATCCAATGAAGCAAAGGTCCACCAAACATGCGGCCGACGGATCATTTGGTGCTTGAGTCCGGCGGGAGGACGTTCTCCCAACATCAGAAAGAAAAAGGTTATGTGAAGATACCAGGCGGACAAGGAATAATGTAAGTTAACTTTGACCATACGTAGAATTATTATTTGGAAATTTTAGAAATGGTAGCAGACTATATTGCTGTGAAAATTCGACTGTTATTTTGTTTAATTTTCGTCAGACAGCCTTGGAAAAAATATCAATGATAAATGGCAATGAATCAATAGCTATCCTTGTAATTTTAAGCCTAAAAATCGCAAGGATATGCAATTCTTTCGTAAAAATTTAAGGGTAATGCAAAAATTTTTTTTAAATAGTTTAAAGTCTTTAAAATAGTACACCCCTTCTCTAAAGCCCTTTAAGAATAAGTTCGATGTTCCTCGACCTCGCAGTTTAGGTCTGAAGTTAAAGCGTTGTACGACTTTTTCACATAGTCAGCGGATGTCTGATGGCACATCAGCAAAAATCATTGAAAGAAGAAAGATTATTATATTACGTCAATGTCTGTGATACTCGTTACTTTTATCTCGGCACATTCAAGAACTGGGATTTAGTTGTATTTTCCCTGTGAATCATCACGCTTTTAATCTTTAAAAACGCCCAGATTTATATTTGAAATTGACTACGAATTTAAAGATGAGGTGATGGATCGACCTGGTGTTGAACAACTTGGAAAAAATCTTCGGTGAGTCACAACAGAATGCTTTAAGTTTTTGCCGAGCTTTCGACGATTATATCGTCATCATCAGGGCTTTAATTCGTTGAAATATATCTTAAGAAAAAGAAACTGCATTTATAATAAGATTATACCACAAGGGAGAGACATGAGACTCAGGTGGCTTTCCCGTTACAAGGCTTTATTTATTTATTTTTTTAAAGCACCTCATGAACCCATTTCGACAGATTGCAGGTTGGAGCATGGATGCATGAGACTTAAGGTCTGCGTGGTACATCTGTCTTGTTGTGTACCTTGGGAAGACCATAAATTCTAGGCTCAACTGATGTATAAATTTTAAGGCTCATACCTCTAGCCTTAGAATTTAGTTTTTCGCTAACAAGTTTTTCTACCAACTTGTTGTTGGTAGTTTGCAATTTTGAAGTGGGTCCCTATAGTCTCTATTTCCCTGCATCGTCTAAAATTTCATTCATTTTCTGCCTGTTTTTAAAACCACATTAGTATTATATTTATCTGCTTTTACTAACAGTAAATTCTTATGCTCGTGAAAGCCCTCGTAAAGCCCTGATGATGACGATATAATCGTCTAAAGCTCGGCAAAAATTTAAAGAATTGTTCTGTTGTGTCCACACCGAAGAACCTATTTTCCAAGTTGACTACGAATTTATTTACTCTAAGGCTTTGTTTTTGTAATAATTAATCTTATTTTTTAATTTTAATTAATATAATTGCGCGTAATTAAAAAAGTAAAAATATTATGCATTTATTCCAAACACAATTAATTTCTCTTGTAGTACTTTTGCTGGAGAGATACCATGAACTGGAGCGTCTCGGCAAAACGGTAGTTGTTGTCTGGGTAAATGGACACATAGGTTTTTTTATTTTTTATTTCTACATATAGATATTACATTAATTAAAAATAATAACAATTAATTAAGGTTTTTAGTTGAGATGAAAAAAAGCCAATGGCACGAGAGGGATTCGAACCCACGACCTTCGGCTATATACGCCGCTCCTCTACCACCTGAGCTATCGTGACCTCGATCCACTCGGACATCAACTCCCCATCTCAACCCCACCATATGAGTTTTCCCTCCTTTTGCCATTTTTTTTCCATCTCAACTAAAAACCTTAATTAATTGTCTTGTATTAATTGGTCAAGCGGACCACGAAAATAGTGAATTAATAATAACAATAACATGATTAAAAATTACATAGCATATTTACAATATAAAAATAAAGTAATATTAAGGATTTTTTCGCTCAATATTATATTAACTCCTAATAATGATTACCACAATTAAATTAACAATTTTATTTACAATTATGCATTAATTATTCATGAACGCCATTATTCCCGACACCAACTTCATAAAATGCGGTAGCACTTCGGTCTCCAAAAAGCATGACTTTGTTGGGGGCGGCCAATGTAAGCCCCTGGTTAACATGGTTGCAACAACGGTAGCCTGGCAGCCGTCACTCCATCGCACTCCAGAAGAAGGTGATTAACAGTCTGAGGAAGCGCCCGACTGCATGAACAAGCTGGGTCGGGGATAATATTAAAGCGAAAGAGATACTCCGCCAATTTTCTATGTCCTGGGAGGATTTGGGTAAGCCTGTAGTCCATTCCCTAAGCGGCATGAGACCGATGGAAAGAACTCCCTGGTCAGTCGTCCCTGGATAGAGTTACTCCAAATTTCTTCCCATCTAGCCAAGCTGCGTTGATCCAGCCATCTCTTAACTGCAGATAAAGGGACCTTTGAATATGCAAATGGCAAGCCTTGGTTTTGGGAGGAAGCCTTAGCCATTTGGTCAGCGATCTCATTTCCCGCTGTGCCTACGTGCGCCCTGACCCATGAGAATGAGACTGTGCGACTCTTCTCAATCCGCTTTATATTACTTCTTATGTCTTCTATTAGGAGCAGATGCATTTTGGTGTTCAGCCGCGAGTCAATGGTGATTCTATTGTCAGTAGCTATTCTTAGTTTTTGTGCATTTTTAGGCTGACTATCTACTCACTCTAGAGCTTTCACTATAGCCAGTTGCTCAGCCTGGTAGAGCATTGGCCACGCAACCAGAATACCTGTTCAAGAATCTGCACGTTCCCGCTGAAGACAACAAATGCACAGCCATCTTTGCTGCCGTCAGTATAAACTTCCAGATCGAATTGTTCATCTGAGTGCAGGTTGATTGATGGGTAACCGGCGGGGTGTATCTATGATTCGAAGCTTTTAGGCTTGTACAATATACAATCCTCTAATCCTTCAAGCGGTTCCCCACTCTGCGCTTTGTACATTCGATCCTGAGCGTGAAGAAAAATAGGTTTCACTCCTGCAATCATAGGTCTGGAGGGTAACGAAAAGACTGACGAGGCGGCTAAGGCCGGGACGTCCCAACCTCCGGACTTAACCACCGCGATCTAGCCCTCTGATGTTAAGAATGCAATAAAAAACATGGTTAAAAGAAGGTGGCAGCGTCGATGGGCCGAGTCGACAGAGAAGCTCTCACGTATCAAGAGCATTGTCGATGAGTGGCCCTCAGAGGATCTGCCTCGAGGAAGAAAGGTCATCTTCATCCGATTATGATAGGCTATGTGAGGTTGACACAGGGAACTTACTTTTGAGTCAAAACCCGCGTATATGTCCAGCATACAGAGAAATGTTACTCGATGTGTCCCACCTAATTGAATGGCGCTATTACTTGGCTCCATATAGAGAGCACGCAGGAATGCCACCCGATTTGAAAATTGTGGTTGAGGAGCAGTAACTGAGTTCCTGTTCCGATTCTTGGATAAAACGGGGTTGTGCTATTGCGTACAGTTGTGTATATCTAGTTTGTGCTGAGAGTGAATATATTTATTAGCGTGAATGTGTGATGCGAGAGGGTTGATGGCGGAATATCGACTACCCCATCCACCGTCAATTAAGTTACTTATAATAAACTGCTCAAAAATGAATAGAGATATTTATAATTTATATTTCATTAATTTTAATTAAATTAAACAATATATTCTTGTTGGAAAAAACAAAATAGAAAATACATACTAAAAACAAACAAATGGTAATCCTCAGTTTTAATAACGGATTTACTTAACCTTAAGACTACTCATTTTGTAAAAACAATCACGTTTCCTCGTCTTTTCTCCATTTTATCCAGTTGTCTTCCCTTTAACCATGGAAAGACATTTTGAACCAGAAGTTTGCAATGTTATTGGTCATCGGCAAGAAGATATCCAGAGGCAGTTGGCGATTCTCAGGGCGTGGTCTCCCGGGTTTTAGCCTGATTTCGAGAGAATCAAAATGGAAATCCAATGGAGGCCTGGTAGTGGATCTCAGCGCATTACGACGCCAAAGGAGGACAGAAATATGGTCATTGCTGCAAGAAAGATCCCTTTCTATAGAGCCCACCAGATCCTAAATGAAGTACAAGATGTTTTGGCAAGGCCTTCATCAACTCAAACGACTCGTAATCGTATGTGGGAAGTTGACCTCGTATGCCCCTTTTAACCTGCAGCAGCAGCCGGCCACCAACAATGCAGGAAAATATGGTGCATCGAGCGCCTAGAAGAGAACATCAATTGGAATATTGTTATGTTACTGATGAGTCGTGTTTCTGTCTGCACTGCCGAAGAGTCTACAAAGAACAAGGGATGTGTACAATGCCCCAGTTCGTGCTTCCTTCGGTGCAATTTGGAGGAGGCGATGTCTGGGCTGGGATTTACACTGGAGAACGATCTAGACTCCGTATTGTCGACGGCAACCCCACCGCAGTCCGTTATGTCCAAGAAATTATCGAGGAATTCCTCAAACCAGGGATCTCATTGGCAGTGATTTTCGATTTCTGGACGACAATGCCAGACCTCATAGAGGCAGAGTTGTTCGTCAATGATTAAAAAACCTAGGAATTTCTTATCTCTCTTTCCCCATTGTCTCCAGACTATCCCACTGAGCACATGTGGGATGGTTGCAGAGAAGGCTTTTCGATCAGCCAGTTCACCTGCAACATCTGTAGAGTGAAATTCCGTATGAAATTAGTGGCAACCTAATTAACTGTACGCTCAACACGTGCAAAGACATTTAACAAACAGTTTACATTTTACACGGTATTAATTGTTTAAAAAAATTATGGTGCCCAATAAAGAAAATGTGTGGTGATAAGTGACCGTTAATCGATATTTATTTAGAAATCATGAGATGCGGTCTGGTGTGATGTAGATTTCAGAAAAACATTTTCTTTATCGTGCCAACGTTTCGATCTTTATTGAGATCATCTTCAGGACCTGGGATTTACAAACATTGTTTACATATTACAATTACATTTTGGATGTGGAAAAGAGAATTTATACAATGCAAAATATATTTTCTATATTCAATCAAAGTAATATGTAAACAATGTTTGTAAATCCCAGGCCCTGAAGATGATCTCAATAAAGATCGAAACGTTGGCACGATAAAGAAAATGTTTTTCTGAAACCTGCATCACACCAGACCGCATCTCACGATTTCTAAATAAATAAAGAAAATTATGGAATTAAAACCTTTTATCTTGTTATTTTTATAAATCCCTTAATTAAATTTTCCTTCAGTGAAAAACAATAATTTCTAATTCATTTTAATGCAATTTATGATAAAAATAAAATAAAAATGCTAGGGAAAGTATTTTTGGCAATACCAATATACTACAATATTGGCAATACCTCTATTCGTTTTTGAGCAGTTTATGTGTAAAGGGTGATGAAAGAATATTGAGTACACCATCACGCTAATGGAATGAACGGTATGTAAATAGGAGTGAATATATTCATTTAAGAATGAAAGTGAGTACGAATGGATTTGAAACTGCAAGCGTGGGGTGCTGAATTGGCCTAGCTGTTGATAGCACCTGGAGCCAAACTTTGGTGGCTGGACGGATGTCTGCCTTAAGTTCTGTACCCGGACTACCAACACCCGGGGTGGATAATTCTCGAGTCTGCCGGCAATTTACTGTAAATAGCAAAAGATGGAATTGCTGGGGGATTACGAGAAGCGAATAGGCCCAACTCGGCACATGTTTGTATGCATGTTCGTAAATTGCGGATTTGGGGCTATATAAATCCAAAATTAATTTTTTTTAAACGTCTTGAGAAAACTGTTTACCTGCCTTAACTGTATTTACATGTGTGGCGTTTAGTGACTTTTAATTAACGATTATTTGAGACCGTGAGGTGCGGTCATGACATAGGTTATAGAAAAACATTTTCTTCATCGTGCCAACGTTTCGATCTTTATTGAGATCATCTTCAGGGCTCAAAGTGTTTGTTTTCTGCGTAATTGTGTCATTCTTGTGTTTCTTCCCACTCTCACCACGACACAGAAAACAAACACTTTGAGCCCTGAAGATGATCTCAATAAAGATCGAAACGTTGGCACGATGAAGAAAATGTTTTTCTAAAACCTACGTCACACCAGACCGCACCTCACGGTCTTCAAATAATCATGTATTTACATGTTTTCTGTTTGTTCTATGTTTATCCTATGCATTATACGTTCAAATTGACACTACTTTTTGGACAGAAACATCCATTTAAATAATTGCATAAGTCGTCCAACCGTATTTTCCAAAGTTTTCTGACTATTTTATCCAGTTGTCTAAAAGTCTAAAACATGAGGATAGCTATCTACTAAGGGTACTTCTTGCCACGTATTAAAAGGCCAAAAACTTAGATCTATCAGACATGGTTTAAGAGAGAACGTACTGATCTCGGATCAACGGGATTGGAGAGAGAGTCATGCAAAAGAGCATCGCCGAAACTAACAGCAGAACTGATAAACACAGTGCAGACTCCGGACGCATTTGTATAGTCTCGGAGCTGCAGAAGCCTGTGCCGGAAAGAAGAAGAATTATCGGAACACGTCCTTAGTTGGTCAAAGGACTATGCAGGTTCACATTCCTACTCCTGGGAGAAGAACAGCCAAGGCCTGAAGGATTCATACGGGTAGCCTTAACAAAGATTTGGGATTTGAGAAAAAGCCTTAAGCTTAATGAAAAGCTCTTGATAATATGCTGTTTGCCCATAGACCAATATTGGCCACGGAGCTCAAGATATACAGGCCGACTTATTTTAGCCTTAACTGTGTTCACCTTGAAACTTGAAAAAACTTATGAGTTGGCTTTTTAATTGATCAGATCTGGTTGTTTTAAAAACGTCACAATCAAGTTAAAAAGTTGACAGTATGGGCTTAGTGAAATTGTGCTTACCGATTTTTTTAAAACCTTTTTAGGGCATTTTTAAAGCAGCTAGGGAGGAGAAAGGTTCTGAGCCAAGTCAACCAAGAAACGTCTGAGCTCAACAAGGTCCTGTCCACGCTAGACCTGGTCGCCTTGGGTGTATGCAAAAATTCTCATTCAATCATTTACAATGAAACCAAACCAAATTGTGTTTTTGAATATTTAAGGTGGGCTGTACATTGGGCGTCGGCGTTTATCTACTTCCCGGTTTGGTCGCGAAAGACATAGCCGGACCTGGGGTTGTCTTGTCTTTTTTCTTCGCCGCCGTTATATCAGCACTCGCCGGTAAGAAATTTCCCAGGTGGATTTTGGTTTTCTGTACTTTAGAAAATATTTCTCAGGACTGTGCTTTGCTGAATTCGGGGCTCGAGTTCCTAAGGCCGGATCGGCTTACATCTACAGCTATGTGACCATAGGTGAATTCGTTGCATTCACAATTGGATGGAATCTCATAATCGAATATATAATCGGTAAGTAATGTTTAGAAGGTTATTGCTTATTTAATGACTTTACATATTTTTAAATCAGGGACAGCATCTGTCGCTCGAGGGCTTAGCGAATACATGGACAAGATGCTTGGCAATCACATGGCGGAGTTTTTCAAGCAGATATACTGTTTGGAAGGGTCGTCGTTTCTCTCCCCGTACTTCGACTTATTCGCTTTCGGAATATCGGTAATTGTCACGAGTAAGTTGCGAGAAACGGATTTTATTCTGAACAAATAAAAATGCATTGTGGAATTTACAGTTGGGCTCGCGTTCGGCGTGAAAGAATCGATGGCGATAAACAACCTATTGACTTTCGTCAATGTCTCCGTAGTCATTTTTGTCATCGTAATCGGCGCTTTTCAAAGTACAGGGTTTTTTTCTAAAAGCGCATTTTTTATCAATTTTAATAAATACGGTTTTCTAGTTGATACATCAAACTGGAATCTGAAGTCTGCTGGTTTGCCCGAGACTGCAGGAACTGGAGGATTCCTTCCTTTCGGCATGATGGGCGTTATAAAAGGAGCGGCTACGTGCTTCTACGGTTATGTCGGTTTCGATGTCATTGCAACTTCTGGTGAGATTCATTCACAAACATTAAAAAATTTCTAAGAGTGTCTGTACCAAAACAGTTTTTTGTTTCAGGAGAAGAAGTCAAAAATCCTCGCAGGTCGATTCCTTTGGGCATCATTTTTTCACTGTTGATTGTGTTTATTGCATATTTTGGTTTGTCCGCTGTGCTGACTCTCATGTGGCCGTATTATCTTCAGGTAACAATCTCTTAAAGTAATATTAATAAGAAGATAACGGATCAATGGCTATATATAACCCACGACACGTGGTATATCCCCCCTATTTGTATGAATGTATTTATTTGCGTGAATGTCGAAATATGCATGGGTGTGCTGTGACGTATATCAACTACTCATAGGCCCACCAAATTAGTATAGGTACGTATTTATATTTGTAGTATGATGTGATGGGCGGGAATAATACCGACATTTCGTTGGTATTATTCTTTCGAAGGGTAGTGGTCTGTCCAGAATGAATGTATTTATTAGCGTGAGTGGTGATGCGTGAAAGGACGTGGCTGTTGAGGAATATCGAGTACTCACAGCCCCATCAAACAATTTAGGATGCTTCAATGTATGAGTGGAATTTGTAAATACCGTTTGAATGTATTTATTAGTTTGAAAGAAAGGAAGCCGCAAGATCACAACAAACCTCCGATCTCCAATTTAGTTGTAGTGTAGGTTAGTGAATTAGCATGACTGTGAGTTACGAAAATGTGTATAAATATTATATTTATGTATTTTAATTTAATAAGTTTGGGAGGAAGGACGACAAGAAACAAGATACCGATCTTCTATTAAGTGAGTTAGGTGAATCGGAAGGCAACAGTCGTTCCTGGGGCATAAGAAGACTTAGAAAAGAATGTACACATAAGACAGATAAGAAGACAGATGTGAGAAGGTTATGTACGTGAGGTATAAGGTGCGATGACCCTGGTAGTTAGCAGACAAAAAAATAAAAAATAAAAAAAAATAAGCAACAAAAACACACGGCAAAGAAATTTCTGCATATCAGTTCAGTAGATATCGAAAAATTATTTAATTGATGCATTTCAAAGGAATCATCCAGAACTCCTCTTTTAAAGTAAAAAAAAAAAAAAACAGCGAAGAAAATATTTACAAAATGCTTGAATTTCCAAATAAAGTATGTTGGCAAATAGATCAATATTTTTAAATTCGTAGTGAAAATTGCAGAGACAACTATGATTCAATGTCTTAAAATAGATCATCTACAGAATGCTGTTTACTATATATTAAAAAAATGTAAGTTATTAAACCAAAACACCTGATGAGCTAGCCAAAACAGAAGGATTTCAGGGGATTCTAAGTTTTGTTCGTGAATCTGGAGTCAACTCTTGTCCTTTAAATTATATTTTTTCTGAGGAAAACTATGCAATTCTTTAGAGATTTTGTAGCAGATGAATAAGGAAAGTTTCTTTTTAAACAACAAAATTTCAAATTTCCTTAAAACCTGGTTGCAGTAGTGGAGTAAGGCAGCAATAACTCTTGTCCTTTAAATCATATTTTTTCTGAGGAAAAACTAAGCATTTCTTTAGAGATTGTGGCAGCAGATGAATGAGGAAAGTTCCATGTCTTTTTTTGTGAACAACATAATTTCCCTAAAACCTGATTTTAGCAGAGTAGTAAGGCAGCAATAACTTTTGTTTTTTAAATCTTTTCCTCTTCGTTTTTTTCCGAGAAAAGATTAAGAAATTCCTTAGAGATTGTGGCAGAAGATGAATGAGGAAAGTTCTATATCTTTTTTCTGAACGGTATAATTCCTCTAAAATCTGGTTTTAGTTGTGTAGTAAGGCAGCAATAACTTTTGTCCTTTAAATCTTAACTTCCTCTTCGTTTTTCCGAGAAAAGATTAAGCAATTCCTTTGAGATTGTGGCAGCAGATATATCAAATCTCTATCTTCCTGATAAATGAAACTTAAAATTTTCCTAAAATCTTGTGGCAACAGGCGGCTAGGAAGTTACAAAAAATTTCACTTCTTTCTAAGTGTCAAAAATAAAATTGTGGTAGCAATTGAATAAGGGTGGTTTCATGTCACTACATCATCCCCTTCTTCCTGAGAAATGACACTGAATTCTTGCCCTTCACCCCTTTTCCTATTTTCTGAGTATCAAAATTTAAAATGGCCCTCATATTTGGTGGTACCAGTTGGACAATGCTGCTGTAATTCCTATCTCAATATCAACTTTATCTCCGTTTTCCTGTGAAGAAAATTTAACAACTCCTTATAAATTTGTGGCCGCCCTTGAATTACTGAAGATTCATGTTTACCTTTCACTTTATGGTAACCCTTTCAACACAGGCTTAAGCTAATTGTAATTTTTGGATGGAACTTCTTCTGGAAATGTTAAAAAATGTGTCTATCTTTTAAGGACATTTTCTTATTGCTTTATCTCTTGTCCTATGGTCCTTCCGGAATTTAGTTCAGTTCAATTTTTTTAGGCTTATCGCTTATTTCCGACAAGGGTTCAAAGGGTCTAGATTGGCTTTTTCCTCCTCGTCAAAAATTGGAGAATAATTCAACAATTTATAAGAAAAACTATCTAGTTAGTCTCATATAATTTTAACCCTTTTTCAATTTTATTCAGGACACAGAAGCTCCGATTCCGTTCGCCTTTACCAGCCTCGGCATGAGCTGGGCAGCATGGATAGTCGCGGTCGGTGGTGTCTTCGGCCTTCTCGCAAGGTAGTCCACGTCTCACTGAAAAAGTCAGAATAATTTTATTTTTTTTTTAATTTCCAGCTTGTTTTCCGGCATGTTTCCCCTACCCAGGGTGATTTACGCGATGGCCCAGGACGGCCTTCTGTTCAGCTGGTTGGGCAAAGTCCACTCGAAGTACAAGACACCGTTCGTCGGGACTTTAGTAGCAGGCGTGCTCACTGGTACGTTTTATTTGTCTATTAAGCTTTTTTAGTCTTTAAAGTTTCCTTTTTAGGCTTGATGGGTGCTGTTTTTGAACTGAAACACTTAGTCGATCTCATGTCTATCGGGACGCTCCTCGCCTACACCATCGTAGCCGGATGCATCCTTCTTCTAAGGTAGTACAAACATGTATTTTCTTAAAATAAAGTTGTTTTATATATTTACAATTTTTCAGGTACCGTGAACCTGAGCAGACGGTCGAAGACAACTTCAGTGAAAGTTTTTCTGAAGGCACATGTCTGATTTCAAGAAAAACCAAAGTAACACGTCCAGACATTTTCTTACAGTACTTCAATCACCATGGGCTCCAAAGACCGACAGGAATAACATCAGCAATCGTCGTTCTCAATACGACAGTTTTTTGTAAATTGACATTTTTAACCTTTTCCAAAATTGTTTATTGTTTTGATATTTCATTTTAGCCGTTCTGAGCATTGTCCTGTCTTATATTTTGGTTTACCATGAATCCGACTTGATCGACTCGCAGATTGGACCGTTGGTGTGTTGCTGTGTTGTAGTTTTTATAATGGCCATCACACTCGTCAGCACTTGCCTTCAACCATCTGACACAGCGACGCTTCATTTTAAGGTATTTTTATAGATTTATCATGGCGTTGTATAATCTACTGAAGATATAACCCCTTTCCCTTGATTCCACCCATTAGCTTGATGTAAAATTCAAAAATTGTGACCAAATAAGTAGTAAAAAAAATATAAACCTGCAACAATTTTCATTATATTTAAGGCACCGTTCGTACCACTGCTGCCAGCTTTGAGCATTTTGTTAAACGTTTATCTGATGATGTTAATGGACGTCGACACCTGGCTCCGATATTTGGTCTGGATGGCGATAGGTAAGAACTTAAATCTTAAAATTGTAACCACGGATTATTTTATATCGTATGATTTTTGGTTACAGGATATGCTATCTATTTATCGTACGGTGTAACCCACAGCGAAGAGAGAAAAAAGGCTCTCGGGTACAATACGATCGAGGGAGAGGACCACTCCGAATAAAAACAATTTTCTGAATGAATGAAAATGTTGTGCAAAGAAAACGTTCTAGTCTTGCACATGGAAAAGCAATGTGCATCAATTTTACCATGATCGTCGATTGCTTTTAATTTATTATAATAATTATATTATTTTTTATTATCTGTTGAAATATAGTTATGTTATGTGTTTAGCTGTATTATTATTTAACTTTGTTTAAAACCTAAAAATGAAAATACAATGCACTGTAATTATCAATTGTTACAGTATTCATAAGAAATAAATAAAATTACCTTAATTCCCATTATTCTGATCTGACTGTTATAAAAAATATTAAGAGCAAAATCATTGCAGCAGGAAAATCGTTCACTTTATCTTAAATTTAAGTGTAGTTTCGTGGTTTACGATTTGAACTGACTACCCGTCAGACGCATTCCTCTTGTCTCCATACTCATCAGGGTTATAAGCAGGGAGAGGTGGGCATATACGCATCTAATGAACCAAAACACTGAGGATAGTTTTGCAAGCAATTCATTCCGCAGTCCGCAGCAAAACAAACACTAGTTCGGTCCTTTCCAATCATTTTCTTCTCCATACTAGATCAAGATTAGAACCACTGACAACGATGTGTCCTTCACTAGTTGCTAAGCATTATGTTCGAAATGGTAAGATGACCACTTATCATAGCCTCATAGAGCAGTAACTACTTTTGATCACTAAATCCTTTACTGCTTCCAGGAGGGTCCAGTCCACCGAGCGGCTAGCAGTAAGCCTGCCTACCCGGTCATTGTTTGGGAGTTAATAATTAGAGAAGTGCTTATGGAAAGACACTTGCAAATTGTGCACCCAGTACTGAAAAAGGGCCAACACCCCTTTGCCAAAATAATGTAGCAACTTGGCGGTCGGTGCCTGGGCAGCGAAGCTCATTTCTATTACCGTCAGTCCCCTCAGTGGGACGCTTAATGTAACATTCAATTTAATAGATTCAGCCCAGCGACAGGCAACTCGCAATTTTTAATAGATTCATGTCCTGTTCACCCCACCGGGTTACCTGACTCATTGAACCGTCCTACCGCCATTATCTCCATTAGCTGGAGCAGGCTGCCTCTGCACAGCGCAAACTCCCCTGCCCCCATGCGGGTCACCACCAGTAGCCTGCACTGGTACGACGATAGCAGTGCTTCTTTGGCCTTATTAGCATTGGCGCCCCGTGTAGGCAGAGGTCGCTGGGCAACAGGAAAGGTTGTGTAAGTGTGGTCCGCACTTCACTTCACCGTTCCCTAGCTGGCAGTTGTAATTCACCATAATGAGACGTAGTGACCATTTATCATCGCAATCATCGCATCATCTTCAAGTCCGCAACAAGAAATCTCCTGCAGTCTGGTCTATCTGGTCATTTTGGTCTTCATGTCCTAGTTGTTTTCTTTCAGACGCATTTCGACATTTCGCTCTCTTCTGCAAGGCATCAAGGATATAAGCAAGAAGATGTAAGCATATAGACTCAGCCATGACAAGTTCATCAGCCTTCATCCCATACAATAATCCTCTTGTAGTTTGATCGATTCCGATCATTTTGGTCTACCCTCGATTTTATGGTCTGTCAGAACCACAGCTGAAAATGGCAAAAAACACAAACACTTCTGACATATCAAAATGCTCGGAAACGACCTAACTGCATGACCATCACCTTACAGACCCCGAAAGGAAATCTCAGAAATAAATTAAAGTACTGACCATCCATACGAGAAATTCAACGTATTTTTTCTAGGATCTAAATCCTTGCATAAAGTTAAATGCCAAGAAAAAACAGCGAGAACATGCGAACCAGGCTGTTAGTAATCACCGTGTCAACGTACATTCCATAGGTTGATCGATAGGCATGAAAAAATAATTTTTTTCTTTCTGTGTTATTAATATTTTATGAACTGACAAAAGGTATAAACAAAAATAATTCTATCGTGACACTTTTATTCATAAAATGGTCTTCTATGCAGTTAAAAATGTATCTATTTTTTTATTTTCCAAGTGTTTTTTTTTTATGATATATAATTGGAACTTGTGTGATAGCCGTTTCTTGTAATGACGGTGTTACGATCTTGTAAAGGCAGCGGTTTTGCTCGGATCTCCAGAGTTTTTAATTTGTTTGTATTCTCTTTCTTTTCCTCTTCCCCGTCCAGCTCAGTTTTCGACCTCAGTATGAAAAAGTACAATATTTCTACAAAGCTGAGGAGGCTCGCACCTACGAACAGGCCAGCCGCTCCACCCATGGATACTAAAAGAAATGGAAAAATTTATACCGGCCGGATGAGATTTTATTACAGTGTAAAAATGGAAAAAAAAAACATTTTTGGTTTTTCCCTTCCAAGATGAAACCCACCAACTAAATCCAGATGGCTCCTTACAACGTTACGTTTAAACCGTTCACTCGGGAATCTGAAAAACGCCACTTCCAAAGAAGACACGTTGTCATCGATGCTTCAACATAAAACAAAACAATTTTGTAAATAATTAATAATCAGACAGAGTAAAAAAAATAAAACTTACTAATCGCTTAAAACTGTAATGGTGTTAATTTCAGGTTCGTTGCAGTTCGGAAAACAATCGCAAATTAGCCCATCCTTTTTACCCCATGGTGTTTTTTGAACGGATAGGTTGACATAATTGTTATTAAGGCAAAGAAGACCGGTTATGTTGCACCTCTCTGCAGGGTCTGTGAAATTTAAAAAATGCATACCAATTAATTTATTAGCACTTTAAACCAAAACTAGAGTTTTTGACCTGATTTCGGCATCAAATGAGAAGTGCAATTGCAGTGCCTGAGCTGCTCCTGCCTCCTGCATTCCACGACACATGCACTGTACGAGTAATAATCTGCGGACTGATAAAAAAACAATCTCAAAAAATTTTTAAAGTAAACAAATATAAATATTTTCACAAAAACAAAACCATCCTACCTTTAAATAGTTCTCGTCTCCAAATCTGCATTTTCGCTGATGGACTGTCAGATCCCTCACGCCGGCCGGGTTCTCCGTGTCTGTCACCGTTATGCTGTAGTTCTTCACCATGTTCATGACAGGGACGATCGTGTCCGTGGTCATCGTGTTGTAAAACGGGACATCGTTCTCCGAATGGAGGTAAACCTTTGTCGCACCTTTCAAATTGATGACAAGCTTCGGAAGGCCGGTTTTACGATTCGTTTCCGTATTTATAGCCTCCGGATCGTTCATTTTGAACAGCTTTCTAAAAAAATCTATATTTGAAACTACATACAAAGGATATAACAAGTAAATTTGCAATAAGAGGTCACATGGCTTGAATGGATTGAACGACCTAGTGGTCCCATCGTAAGAATTTATTTTGTCGGGATATTAGAAAAGGTAAAACGGTATAGATATTAATGGGTAAGACGAAAGAAATGATTTGGCATTTTAATCTATCGGGGTTTAACGAAGACATAGGGTATGTTCGCAGGACATAAACAGTTGCTATTAGAGGTCTATGCATCCAAAGATTTCGGTTCGATAAAAGTTGGAGTCATTGCTGTCTCATGTAGTTCTAGCTCAGAGTAGACTAGTAGTAGTGCGATATAAAGTTGTTTTTGCTCTGTATGGATAGTTTCGAAAGGCTATCTATTAAAGCTTGATCATCTTGTATCAGAAGATCTGAATAGTCGGTCACAGTTTAATATGTATTATTTAAATTATTATATATTATAATTGTTTATTTAATGTCTGTGCATGTGAACGTTGAGTTGACTTGTGTGAGATGAGGGTTGTGGTAAGATCGACCTTGTTTTGCCGAGCACGAAGACTTGGTACCATAGTAAGCGTCGATGATGTGAACGGGAGGGTTCAGAACAGTGGTGGATCCCGTTGAAAACACTAGGGTGGTCTTATCTGATTTTGTTTCCACAGCATAACGTAGGTGCAATTCTTGGCGCATTTCCAGCAAGACAACTTGAACAGTACTGCTTTAAACTGGTGGCGGTCAGAACGTGATGAGTTGCATGTATGCTGTACGGTGTGATAGTGACATATGTTTTCAATTGGGGGTCGCAATGACATCAGAAGGACAATGAGCTTCTTTAACGTGCGCACCTGGCACATGGCCTTATCACAAGTTTAGATTCAAAAGATGCGACACACCTCCGCTCACAAGAGGTCAGTGCTTATCCTGTGAGGTTTGTGATGCACAGACTTAGTGACAAGTCCGCTTGCCCCTTCCGAAGGGGTGGGTTAAAATGCACCCGACCTTGTGCCGCATTGCTATTGGAAAACCTTTCATTTGGCGCTGAAATGCATCAGCTGATTAACCGTGCAATACCATCTAGATAGAGACAAATTTATCCCCTAACCAGCGTCGAAACTGCCAGATCCGCTCCGGCCGCGGTTTTTTATAGTGGAATTTCTAACCACCCTCTAGAGGAACGCTGCCCTTTGTAAAGGAATCCTGTATAGTCACCACTGAACAACAGGCTCTTCTCTAAGTACCAGCCAGAGGTTCGCCTACGGCCAAGTACGATTTCATTCCTACGTAGTTTTCGCATCCTTGTATTCTATATGCTTCCTTCGTCCGATCTTCCATATGCAAGCGGAGGTTGCTTACGGTGATCATGCGCAAGCATGCGAAAAGATAATAGCAAGGAACTATAGGTATCTCCTGCAATCCCAAGGAAAAGGAGTGAGAAAGGGAATTGCCCGAGATCCCGAGGTTCATCTTTTCAGGTTGCACCCCTCGCCTCTGACACGATGAGCTCGATGAGGTTTGTTGTTGACACGATGAGAAGTTGTTCCCATGATCCTCAGTTATTGAGATGCTCTATGAGAGGTGGATAAAAGAGACGAAAATGGTCATTCGGGCGCCAAACACAAGTCGAACGCCCAACAGACCACCCCAACTCGAGGGGAAAAGAACCCTGTGCGCATTCGAGGGACTTTAGGCGTAGACTTCATTTTCATTCGGCATTCTCGCATGCTATACTCTTCCTTCGTCCGATCTTCCGTAGGCATGCGGAGGGTACTTACGGAGAGCGCACAGGGAAATAGTTGTGGAGAAGTGCATGCCCAACACACATCTCCGAGTAAAACATGTTTGTTCTCAGATTCCCTTCTCCACAGATTATATTCAGTGAGAGAGATCGACCTCTCATCCTAGGCCTCTTGCCGTTTCTTCGACAAAATTCCTCCGAGAGACGATTCTCCCTACTAATCTTCGGGCAACGGGTGTTCCCAGGGATTCGGAAGCTCACCTTTTCACGTTACGCTCACTTCACCCCAGAAGTTTAACCGCCCCGATCCGTACTTGCTACGTCTTCGCTGAATGAACAGGTTGCGATCCTCTTTTTGTTCGGTTGATCGCGTTCATAGTGACAGTCTTTACCGTATATTCGGTTCTCCTAAAAAGGACAATGAGGATCTTTAACGTCCGCACCTAGCCTATTCGACCTTATCGGACGTTTTGATTCTCAAGATGAGAGCTGACGCACCTCCACATACGACAGAATGGTGTTACTGCCGCAGCATTGGTGTAGAGGCAGCTCAGCCCCGAAGGCCCAAGGCAGCCTCGCTCCCCGCTTGCTCATTCCGAGTGGTCGGGTCTGCATTAAGCATCAGACCATATGCCGCGCGCAAAGAGCTACCTAAGCCGAAATACATCAGCCCGGTCTCCGGGGCACTCCCTAGATAGAGAAAGCCAATCTATCTCCCAGAGTATTGGGGCTTTTTTTAGCGTAGAAACTACCGGAACCGCTCCGGCCGCAGTTTTGTTTATAGTTGAATTTCTAACCACCCCCTAGAGGAGTACCGCCTTCGGTACAAGCCTCTAATCGAGCTCAGCCTACACCTACGTGCAAAGCATACTCGATTAGGAGCAACCGATTCACTACCCGTTCCCATCCGCCACTACTCACGCATTCGAGGGACTTTTCAGCGTTAATCATAGCGTCCTCAACGCTTATACGCTGTCGTCCGGTCGCAACGTCTCCCTTGAAGCCGGGAGTAATAACGCTGGTCATTCGCAAGCTTCAGGAAGGTCACAGATAGAAGACAGCCTCGGTCTAAGTTCCCGCCAGGGGCGTCACCACGAACCACTACGAATCCATTCCCAGTGTAACAGGGGTTGAATTTTGGAACATTTCTGTTACCCCGTAGTACAGATGGTTATGCTGACAGGATCTGGTACCCTAATCCTCGTGTGCCTCTGATAAGGCACCCGCCGCCCATGCCGACCCGATGCCGACACGAGTACAGCTTGTGCTTTAGAGAGGTTGCCACGCCCTCAGGGATGCGTCATTATTTTGCGCCCGGACACCCCCCTTGTAACCAAAGGTTGGGAGTGGTCACAGGAAAGAGTGAAGGAACCTGGATTGAGAAAGGGCCTTTTCAGGGCCCCGAGCCTTAACCACATTATATCACCCGTCGTCCTGTAATTCCACAATGAGTGGGCTACAACTACCTGGGTGGGTCGTTGTTAGTGACAGTGGTAATATTGATGATTAGGGATCGGTATATTCATTAAAAATATTACACACCTTTCATTCATCTGATTGAATGAGAAGCAGGTGCCGAGTTCGGTGTTCAACGGCATGAAATGCTTGCAGCAATCGATTTCTTTCCCCATCCAGAAGCAAGTGTCGAATAAATCTTTGCAAGAAGATCTCACCTGAAAAATAAAAATTATTAAACTATTTTAAACTATTACAAATTAATTAGCATACGCGTTCGGCTATAGAGGAGTAGTCGTTAAGAGGGCATTCTATATCGCCCGAGGTACAAAATTCTTTAATGTAGTAAGCAGTGCCTTTGAAGAATGTAATCTCTTTCAACACTTCGTCCAAGTTGCAGTCGTGGTCCTCGCCGAACATCCTGAAAAACACAAAAATCTTGACAAAAAAGAAAGAAACCGAAACGACAAATCCTTACACAGCGGCCGCTTCGTAAATCCGACCCATGTTGTCATCCTCGCAGACAGAAATCGCCGGAAAAGTCGAGTTTTCTTTGAGGTAAGTAGTCTCGACCATAAAACTCACAGCGTGGTTTTGGAAGGCGTACCAAGACGCGTTGATGAGTATGGCCGAGCCCACCCACGACAACATGCAAAGCACAGCCCAAAGGATCCTCACCAAGAAAAAATCAAATGTAAATCGAAAAATCAACTTAAATTGAGGCAATTTAAAATTACCTTTCGGACCAGTGCCGACCTGGTTGTCCCACGAAGCGAAATCCATGAAAACTTGTGTTCGTGAAGTAATTCCTGATGGTATGTAAAATCGATTCCATCTATGATATCCTTAAAATACTTGAAATAAATAACTTCCACTAAATCTCAGATCAGCATAAATATAAAAATTCGTTGGCTTAAGGATGGATTTATCTTAGATCGAATTGTCGATTCTTAAAGGTAAATAATATACAGGGTGAGTTTCTACTCAATGCACATCACCAGCACATTGTCCGCCCCGAATGGAAGATAGTACATCATACAGGGTGTTCCAATTCCTTCTGACGAAACTGAGTGAATCGATTCTACTCTTCGTGTGGAGCAAAAAATGCTCAGGAGAAAATTTTCGTAAAGTTCTCTATTTTGAAGATATTCGTCAATTTAGGTTTTTTCAACTTTTCACTACCTTACCACATAAAAACGCTTAGAACTTCCAAAATGTTGAGACTACAATATCAGTTGGAACATGTCAAAATTACAAAATTTAAAATTTTGGTCATTATTGCACGTTCTTCTGAGGTTACAAAAAATACCTACAACTTGTCAAATTTCACAAAAACTTCTTCATCTAATATGCTTTACGTTGATTTTTCAACTCTACTAGAACGTTATTTAAAAACCTGGATATATCAACGATATTGGATAACATTTTATGTCATTCAGATTATTGCAAATAGAAGTATCCTACAGCAAATTTAGCGTTCTTTCAAATGGTGTAATTGGGTTTGTTGTAGTCTCAACATTTTGTAAGTTATAAGCGTTTTTATGTGGTAAGGTAGTGAAAAGTTGCCAAAACCTAAGTTGACGGATATCTTCAAAATAGAGAACTTTCCAAAAATTTCTCCTAAGCATTTTTTGCTCCAAACGAAGAGTAGAATCGATTCCCTGAGTTTCGTCTGAAGGAACTGGGACACCCTGTATAAACCATGGTCCGATTCTCAACCCTTTCTCAGATATTCAACATTTTTTGTTTTTCTCAAGTATCGACGGATTACGTCATAAATGTACTCGGATCTCGTAAACTATTCAAATGAATAGTGGTTTAGCAGTCCATAAAAATTAATGAAATTGCCAAAAGACAAGTTGAAACTATTAAATTCCTTACCCCTTAGAAGGTACTCTTGTAGAAATTTCAATTTAATTTTTGAAAAAACCCTAAAGCTTTCAAAACCTGCTAAATTTATAATTTGTAAATACCTAAATTTGCAACCTCATTAGAAAAATTCACGGTAGAGCTTGGCAAATTTAACGCAATTTAGTTGGTCACAATGTTTATTGTTTCTATTTTATGTGTTTTGTTTGATTTTTACGTTGAATTTGTCATTTTTTGTGCTTTTTTATTAGGTTAAAGTTGGTTTTTATAACTTCTTTATTGTTATTTTTTTATTTTGTCTGAGTTAGTGTAGATTTTTGACCAATTTTTCTGCTTTGGTTGTTAGCCAAATTTTTATTGTCTCTTTTTAAGTATTTTGTTTCATTTTTCTTTCCTTATGTGCTTTTTTATTTAGTTAAAGTTGGGATATAAATTTTGCCCGGGACAAAAAGTTGAGATAATACATTAACCCCATCCCATTTTTTCACGCCGACACAATTTTTTCCCATTTAGCATACAGATTTCGGCATTTAATTCAATGTACTTAAAGAAAAGGGTATAACGCTGGAAAACTAATGGAAGGAAGAGCTTTTATGAAATTTAACATGCTCTATCGTGAATTTCTCAAATGAGGTTGCAAATTTAATTTTTTTACTAATTTTAAATTTAGCAGTTTTTGAAAGATTAAGTGTTTGTTAATTTACCACAAATTAAATTGAAAGTTCTAGAAGGGTGCTTTCTTATAGGAAATTTAACGCTCTTTTCAATGCTTTTTTTTTGGATTTCTACAACAATGAATAGTTCAAGAATTACGAGTAGATTTATGATCAATCCGTAGATAATTGAGAAAAACATAAAATGGTGAATTTATGCGAAAAGGTTGAGAAATGGATCATGGTTTGTACGGTGTTTTCTTATCCATTTGGGGTGTAGAATGTGCTGGAGAAGTTAATGCATTGAGCAGAGCGACACCCTGTATAATAATTTTTTATTCTAGATTTTATTTGGTCGTTTTCTTCCAGCCCTTTCACTCCAAAAAAATTAGCCTTTTAAATATTTTGAATATAATTGAAAATACTTTGCGGTACTTAATATTAAAATATTTCAAATTAAAGAGGAAACTTTTAATTGTGGGTTTGATACTCCCACATCCCATATTAAAAATTATCCTTTTGAGTATGTCATCACATAATACACTTAGTAACTTATAATCTGCTTAAAGAACCAAAAAAACATTTATGATAAAGAGAAACCAAATCGAGTATGTGTGTGTCAGTCGATGACTACATTTGCTGAAGATCTCTTAGAAATAAAGATAATAAAAAAAGCGAGAAAATTGAGACCAAAGATGATCATTGAAGCCGAAGTCAAAATTTTATATTTTTTTAATAAACTTTACAAAATTCTAAATCACAAAACTTTAAATTATGTGTAATAAGCTTATGATTTTGGAAATATTTACCACTTTACTCGGGGGATTCTTTTCGCTATGGGAATCGTGCAGGTACTGTTTGTTCCGTTATGGCAAAAGCAATACCAATAAAATATTCAAAAATGGAGACAATCAGATGTTATCTCAAGCCCTGACCGCGAGCATGAAACCAGCCCGTTATCCCCTCGAAAGCTTATTAATTATTCATAAAACACAGATTCGAAATTGTTATTCCAAGGGCGGAATTAACCTAAGAACAATATAAACTGGAGTAATAAAACTTTCACCCTTTTTTTCTTCACTTAGGTCGCTTTACCACACGCGCCGAATTTCATCTGGTTTCAGATGTCTGTTTATGTTTCTCAAAAGAAAGTCAGAGTTCATGAGCATCAGTTAATTTGTCATGCTAGATAAACAATAGAAATAAAACGAATTATAATTTGCTTTATCGCTTTTTGCCCACAGAAAAACAATTTTTACTAAAAGTTTGCTATTTTGACAAAATACTTCCTAGTGAGGGATTTACAATGAAATATCTTATAGTTGTATAAAAAAAACTTCAAAATTGGCTTATAGGGGAGACATTCCATGAAACTAATTTTCAATAACATATTTTCTGTGATTTTCGTAAATTTTAATTTGTATTGATTTTAGACTGTCACACCCCAAAAAGTAACAATTTTCCTCAAACTTTTGTTTACCGATCTATTTGATGGTAAAAAAATGGTATTCCAAAATTACCTTGGAGAAACCCCAGGAATTCTACTTGTGACACAGAAATCTCTGTAGAATTTTAGATATTCATTGGATAGGGTCACATTTGGTAGTTCGAAGATCAAATGTTTAAAATATTTGTTCATTTACAACAACTATTGTTTTTGGGGCTCATACGACATGCAATACTTGACCAAATGACAAAATTTTGATCAACCCTTAAAAATCTAATATTTATAACGTGTGGAATACCCAAAATATCCTAAAAATATATCCGTAATAAAATATATTTTATTTAATTTTTTATTTCTACACTTTTTTACTTTAAATAAAAATAGTAGGAAAATATGAACAAATATACTTTATTAAGAAAAAAAGTTAAATTAAATTAATTAAATCCCAAACTAAACATTGCAGGTACTTGAAAGGCGATGGATGCAGAGGGGAGGGATGGAGGGAGAGAGAGAGAGAGCGTGAGAGGGAGAGAGACAAAGAAAGAGATAAAGTGAGAGAGAAATAGAGAGAGAGAGAGAGAAGTTGAGGAGAGAGGCAGAGAGAGTGAAAATGAGAGAGAAAGTGAGAGGGAGAGAGACAAAGAAAGAGATAAAGAGAGAGAGAGAGATAGAGAGAGAGAGAGAGGGTGAGGGGAGAGGCAGAGAGAGTGAAGGTGAGAGAGAAAGGGAGAGAGAAAGTGAGAGAGAAATAGAGAGTGAGTCAGAGAAAGAGCGAGAGAGAGAGTGAGAGAGGGAGAGGGAGAAAGACAGAGAAAGAGTGAAAGTGGGAGAGAGCGATAGAGAGTGAGTTAGAGAATGAGTAAGAGAGAGAGAGAGAAAGAAAGAGTCAGAGAGAGAGAGTGAGAGAGGGAGAGGGAGAGAGACAGAGAAAGAGTGAAAGTGAGAGAGAAATAGAGAGAGAGTGAGAGAAAGATAGAGAGTCAGTTAGAGAGTGAGCCAGAGAAAGATAGAGATAGAGATAGATAGAGAGAGAGAGAGAGAGAGAGAGATAATATGATGATACGTGGACTCGATCATCAAATGTCATTTAATTCATTAAAAATCAGAACCATTGTTGATACATTACTTGAAGGGAAAAAGAAATCTAAGTGTTTAAATTTTTTAATTATGAAAGAGGGCAAAGAGGGAACGAGTAGGAAAGAATGAGATAAATCATACTTTTGGTATTTCGTCTTTGTAAAAAGAATACTTGCGAATCAAACAGCACAGCTGTTTAAGAAATAGAGTAAGTGAGAGAAAGAGAAAGAAAAAGAGAAAGAAAGAAAGAGAGAGAGAGAGAAAGAGAGAGAGAGAGAGAGCACAGAGGAAAAGAGTGAGAGAGGGTAAGATATCGAGTGGAATGAATCATTCTTCTTTTGGATATTTCCACCCTCAAAAAGGAACACCATTTTCAAATTTTATTCATTTATGTCAGGAAAGTAGCTGAGATATAAATTGTTTGTATGTATATGTTTTAAATTGTGAGAGAGCCGAAAGAAAAATAATTTAATAAAAGTCAGATTTAGAATGAAATATATCGTACTTTTGGACATCTAAACCTTCAAAAGGAATACCGCCACATCAACCTTCATTCATTAATATCAGGACGATTGCTGATAAATTACGTTAAATAAAAGAATGTAATAACGAAAAACAAAAACCTAATCTATGAAGTTAAAAACTATCTTGGAAATGGCACGAGTTAAGGCATTTATTATTACTGTAAACATACAGGTGACTAATCCCCAGCCACACTTGACCTAAATAATACTTATAGACATACTTTATTATTAGGTTCTTTTATGACCGTCGAAATTGATATTTAATAACTACCCGCCACATTAACCCTGACAAATGGTCAAACAGTTTAATTACGACGGTCTAATTTTGCGATGATTACATTGATTTGTCATTGTGTAACGAATTATTTGTGGATGTTGATTTTTATAATTAATTACCCGTGCTAAAACAAAAGTTTAGGAAGAACAAAACGGGGAGATGCTCATCCGTCTCGGTTGATCTGTTACCCTTTGTACTCGGTCCTCACATCCTTTTTGTTTTATTTATTTTTTATAATCCACCAGCCCATTTCCTATTTTTTTCCCACCCTTTAAGACCGGAAACTAATTAAAACATGGTCTGAAAAGAAACTAACCGGTGGAATTTTTGGGAAGTTGTACGAGGGAGCAGGTTCGACACATGAGACACCGGGAATCCAGTTGCACTTATTGTTTCACCAAAAAAATCCGCTTCCGCTCATCCCATTTTTATGTATCCAGTCTGGGATTTGTAAAAAACGTGTTTACTGATTCCTACGGCGCCCGATGGGGAAATATTCACGACATTTGCACTCGTGAATGATTCACATCGGCCGATCCGCCGACGCCGAAATTAACAATTTTACACCGTATTTTCTGGGCGTGAAAGGAACATCTGGTCCTATGCAGCAGGAGTCCTTCTAAGGAAAGGAGAGCGCCCACTTGCTCTAGCCCACACTCATACCTGCAAAAATCAGACCGTCAATGGGAAAAATAACATCCCATACACTATACAGTATCATTAATGTTAATGGAAAGAAAAACTCTAAATACCAATAAATGTTTTGTACACTAGAAGTAATTAATCTTTATATAAGGTATTTGTTGAGATAAAAAAGTCAGTGTCACGAGCGGGATTCGAACCACGACCTTCGGCTAAATACGCCTCTGATCTACCACTTAAGCTATCTTGAATTCGTTCCACTCGGACACCAACTTCCCATCTCAACCCCACCTTTCGAATTTTCCCTCCTTTTTGCCATTCTTCAAATGTCGGGTAATCTATTCTATTCCCGGCGACAAATGAAATGGCTAAAGAGAGCTTTCATGAAGATATACTTCACTTTACTTATTAAATTCATTAGAGTTCGTAATTCCGATTGACCGAATAACGTTTTTCAATTAGTTAATCTTTATATAAGGTATTTGTTGAGATAAAAAAAGTCAGTGTCACGAGCGGGATTCGAACCCACGACCTTCGGCTAAATACGCCGCTGCTCTACCACTTGAGCTATCGTGACCTCGAGCCACTCGGACACTAACTTCCCATCTCAAACCCACCTTTTGAATTTTCTCTCCTTTTTGCCATTTTTATCTCAACCAATACCTTACATTAAGATTAATTAATTGAAAGATATTAATTTCTATTTTTTCAAAGGATAATGTTGATTAGCAGAACTTTATAGCAATTTTTTGTCATTATGAAGTCCTGATACGTTTTAATATTTTTTGTGTATACTTTTTATATATAACGACCACCTTTTGCCTTCACACAAGCTTTTAGTCTTCGGGGCCAATCATCTATGGCAGTACGCAACACGTCTTGAGGAAATTTCTCAACTGCTTTTAGCAGAGCGGACTTGGAGCTCTCTAAATTGGCGTGTTTCCTGTGGCAAGCCATAAGCTCAAGATGGGACCACACCTTGTAGTCCAGAGGATTCAAATCCCCACTTGGTGTGGTGGGGAGTTTGCTACGATGGGACCACAAAATTTTTGTGAGCAAGGAGTCAAAACAAGAGCGAAAAATTACCAAGAAGACATCCTTGAGAAAGTAGTAAAGCCCTTAAGTACTACTCTTTTTTCCGGAACTCATTGGGTCTTCCAACAGGACTCAGCTCCTGCGCACAAGGCCCGAACAACTCAGCAGTGGCTGGAGGAGAATGTTCCGGAATTCATTAAGGCTTCAGATTGGCCCTCGGGAAGCCCAGATTTGAATCCTCTGGACTACAAGGTGTGGTCCCATCTTGAGCTTATGGCTTGCCACAGGAAACACGCCAATTTAGAGAGCCTCAAGTCCTCTCTGCTAAAAGCAGTTGAGAAATTTCCTCAAGTCGTGTTGCGTACTGCCATAGATGATTGGCCCCGAAGACTAAAAGCTTGTGTGAAGGCAAAAGGTGGTCATTTCGAGTAATATTATTTTATTTCAATCTTAAAAAATATTGGATTTTTTAAATAAATTTCTTTTTCAAATTATCAAGTTTCTCTATTCCCTAATGGCCCTTTTTCTTGTAACAGAACTTATGGCAGGACTAGGTAATATATATATCATCAGGTTGTTACGTTTCCTCAAGTTTTAGAGATTCTGAATGCATTCACTGACTATTTATTAAATAATCTTTTTATATCAGTACCAGCTTGGAATTTGTCATAGTATCGCTAAGGTTTTCTAAACCACAAGCATCGATAGCATGTATTTTAGCTTTAGAAACCAAAGTGTACTTCCGGAATAAGTCTTGTACTGTTATTTCAAGATTCTGGACCCAAATTTAAGTAGTCTTGGAGATCCTTCTCTGACTGTTGTTCATTACTCCAAAAGTCTTTTATAGTGCGTTGAAAGGTAAAAATACAAATTTTAAAAAAAAATCTTTAATTGTTGGTGTTTATTTACTGGCGTTGAAATTTTGCTCTGGTTTCACTATTTTATGGGGTTCTTTGGCTGAAAGATTTATATGTAAGTTATAACTACAACAATTAATTAATCATTATTTATAAAGCACCAGTGATGAATCTTTCTGGAAAATGTATTTTACCGCCACATTTTTAAATTACTTGGTACATGCGTGACGTTAGTAATTGCCTGCTTCTCATAAAAATTTTTCTTCTAATTTATTAATTTGGAAGTCATATTAATCACTATCTGGGAGTGAAAATCCTTACTGATAATCAAATATAGAAGAAACCGCTATTTTTAAACTTTGACGACACTTCTTGTCAATTCTTGTTTTGGCGTATTTACGCTATTGCATGGAAGCATATCGGCCATCTGTCGTGTCGCTATCACAATGACTATGACATCAACGCAATATAGCCTGTCTGAATTATTTCGTTATCTTCTTATGAATTTGCTAGAATTATTAATTTTCTATTATTAAAAAACATGTAAATTCTCGTAGTTTGAAATTTTAATTATATTGCATGAACTTTAACCGTAAGAAAGATAAGTATTTAACTCAATGATTTAGGACAGGTTAAGAGAACCTGATTAGGAACAGATGCAAGAAGTAATACATCAATTTCTTGTTTTCTTACTTCATAGGACAAAAAATTTAAAATGTTCCTCTTGGGAAATGGGCCAGGCCATTAAAACACTAGATCATGGTTATTTGGTATGTTTCTCATTTCTTTTGATATTGCTGCTTACAATATGAACATGGCCGAACCTACGTGACTAATCCGATTTTAAGATTTTGGGAGAAGGAGTCTTCAGGTAGCCCGGGAAGTGATTTACAAGTTTGCACACGTGGCGAGCAGATGACTCTTCATCCCTCACCGTCCCCTGGCTGTCTTTTCTCCTTTATACTGTGCAGTATACACATCCCCGGGTTTCTATTTATCCTCCGGCACCGTCCGCCGGCAACCCCTTTCCGATTTTTTTTTACGGCCCGGGACATAATTCTCAGACAATTGAACTGGGAGAACGCGTATTTTTACGGCCGGGGGTGCAGCCCCTTTAATTTTGAGCAGTAAATTCGGCCTCTTTTTACACAGGAGGAAAACCAGGGGTATTATTAGTGCGGAGCGGGAAACAATTCAAATCGCCAGAGCTCCCACGTAAATAATCTTTCAATGCGTCGATAAACAAGGACTACTGGACCTTGTGTTTTTAATTTTTTTTTTTTTGCAACGGACAACGTTCGAAAATAACCACTCAATTAAAACAGTCCAATTTATTATTTAATGACCGTAGGCTGCGAAATGTTAAATTACACCGAAGTGATTAAAAAATATTAAAACTTATGAGAACCTCACAAAGTTTTGAGCTCAGTTCACGAACAGCTTGTAGTTTGTCAGAAACAAAATACATATAAAGACATAAAGCTATTTTAAAATATAATAAAATCCCAGGAGAAGTTAATAAAAAAAATGCTTTTAATTTAGTTCTTCATTAGGCACAGTTATACACGCTATGTTACAATAAATCGTTATATATAAAAAGTAGACACAAAAAAAATATTAAACTTATCAGGACTTCATAATAGCAAAAAAATTGGCATAAAGTTCTGCTAATCAACATTATACTTTAAAAAAATAGAAACTAAAAAAAAAGAGAGTTGAACGCTAGAAACAAAATACATAAAATACATAGCTATTTTAAAATATAATGGAATCCCAGGAGAATTCACAATTGTTTTTTAAATTTAGCACAGTTTTCCAAGCTATGTTCAATAAATCGTTATATAAGTATATACTAAAAAAATATTAAAACTTATAAGAACCTCATAATGCCAAAAAAATGATATTCTGCTAATCAACGTTATACTTAAAAAAATGAGAAGGTTAAAGAAACATTAACAAACGGCGATCAAGGAGAGTTGGTAAGGTAATGGCAAAACTTTCAAAGTTAGTTTCTGTAATTTGTCATTAAAAAAATATTTGCATTTCGAAAAAAATTTCCAACTTCAATAGAGGTGAAGGAAGGAAACTTGTATGAACTAAAAAAATTGGATTGTCGACTCCCTATATAACAATTTAATTGTTTTAATTTAAGATTTCATTAATTCATCCCTGTTCAGGCAATCTGGTAATTTTTGTCAAGGATGTTTTTTATTTATTTTGTAATGTAATCCCTGAATCGCAGTTGATTCTGTTTTTCGTTGATATGAAAAAGTCATCCTGCTATTTTAGAAGAAGTTTAAGTTCCATGTTTGGCATTTCTTAATTTTACTAGATTGGCAATATGAATGAAAACGGACGCTGTTTATCTTTACTTTTACTACTTTTCAAAGTTGTCAAAATTTAAGAAAGATTTTTTGGGTTCTTTGAGTACCGAAAGATTGGGCTTTCAGAAAAGTTTCCCCAGTTTCCGCAGCTAATAAGAGTTAAAGGTTTTATTTTATTTCACAAAGGTAAGTTACCATCAATTAAAAATTAACGTTTAATTGCTAAAATTAGGATTTTTGGGCTACAAACGATTCAAATAAAAATCATTAAGATTTTGAAACTTGTATTAAAAAATAACGAAAGTAATATAAATCAAACAAAAAATATTCTGTAAAACAAAATTGAACATAAGAAAAAGAAACTTTTAAAAATTAAAATAGATGTTCAAAATGTTCACCTTCTTGAAAATTTTAAATCTGGTACAATAAAAGCAAACAAAAATGAAACTCATAAAGTTTTCGAGGCCCTTTCCAGTGGTTTAATCAAACTTATAGTAGGATTAACATTTTATTAGCATTTTCTAGGAATAAAAGTGTGAAAGGTCGAAATAATCTAAAATAAAAGAAACAACCGGAATACAAATGAGAATCGGTCTTTCGACAATAGGTACGTTTTAGTCCAAATTGACCCGCAGGATAAGCTCCAAAAGTTTTGAACTCTGTTCGCGGACAGCGCGTAGTTTGTCAGAAACAAATACATATAAAGACATAAAGCTACTTTAAAATATAATGGAATCCCAGTAAAAGTCACAAAAAATCCTTTTTTTATTTAGCACCATCATATGGTTCAGTTATACAAGTGTTACAACAAATGGGTAATATATAAGAATTACTAATATACTAAAAAATATATATGCGAATAAGAATAATACGCACTAACTACAAAAACAAAATATAAATATCAAAAATATTGCTGCGTTAAAGTTTCGTATGTTTGTATGCATTGTTATGTACCATGTGTGGTGATTAGTGACCGTTAATCGATAATTATTCAGAAATCGTGAGATGCGGTCTGGTGTGGTGTAGGTTTCAGAAAAACATTTTCTTTATCGTGCCAACGTTTCGATCTTTATTGAGATCATCTTCAGGGCCTGGGATTTAGAAACATTGTTTACATTTAAAAAATACATTTAGGATGGGGAAAAGTGAATTTATACAATGCAAAATATATTTTTTATATTCAATCAAACAACTCAACACTAACACTATTACTAATAATACTATTAAGTCTATTATCACGATAGATTAAGTCTATCAAATACAAACAAACCAGCATACATTTCCATGCCATTTATTCAAGGCCTATCACATAAATTAAACACATTTCTCTCGTCCGATAACTTCAAAATAGCTTTCAAAAATTATAAAACAATCCAAACACTTTTTTCGAAAATTAAAGATCCCACACCAATAACAAATAAACCTGACGACAATAATCTACAAGATCAACTGTTTAAACTGTCCGATAACTTATATCGGTCTTACATCCCGATATCTGGACAAGAGAGTAAAGCAAACATATCTATGATTGCAAAAAAAACCAAGGAAAATCCTCCAGCACTCGCTACCCACCATTTTGAACACCAATACAATTTCGACTTTAAAAATCCAAAAATATTACATACAGAACAAAACAAACATAAACGTAATTTCTTAGAAATGTTTCGACTTCAAAAATCCAAAAATATTACATACAGAACAAAACAAACATAAACGTAATTTCTTAGAAATGGTTTATATCAACAGAGATAAACACAGCATCAATTACAGAACAGATACATGTAAACTCAGTCGCAGCTACGCCAATATCATTAATTAAATTCAATACAGATAACACCTATATCATCACATTACATTCCACACATTAAATATTCTTCACATTGTCTAATTTCCCAACAATTTAGCTTTCCTTTTCCTATTTATCCCTTTCTATATAATCCTGAAAGGATAATCTGACCGAAATATTACCAACACATTTTTTCCTTTCGTCACCTCAAAGAAGCCGACGCCTTATACCAAAATGTCTTTTCTATACCGACTTCCTTCCCCACCCCTTCAACTTCCAACGTATGTAAACATAAAACAGCAAAATCTCACTGCCACTCTCGACACGACACGCAAGAATGGCACAATTACACAGAAGACAAACACTTTGAGTGAGTAGAAATACTTTGACTGAATATAAAAAATATATTTTGCATTGTATAAATTCACTTTTCCACATCCTAAATGTATTTGTTAAATGTAAACAATGTTTGTAAATCCCAGGCCCTGAAGATGATCTCAATAAAGGTCGAAACGTTGGGACGATAAAGAAAATGTTTTTCTGAAACCTACATCACACCAGACCGCATGTCACGATTTCTGAATAGTTATGTACTATTAAATTCACTAGTTTCGTGGTCCGCTTGACCAATTAATATCTTAGAATTAATTAAGGTTTTCAGTTGAGATAAAAAGTCAATGGCACGAGCGGGATTCGAACCCACGATCTTCGGCTAGATACGCCGCTGCTCTAAACTTGAGCTATTGATCGATCCACTCGGACACCAACCTCCCATCTCAACTATACCTTTTGAATTTTCCCTCCGTATTGCCATTTTTCAAATGTTAGGTACTATGTTTTTTCAGACTACCGACTAGTCATATATCATAAAAATTATCCACAATAAAAAAGTACGGAGAAAAATATCAAAAAGGATACTTTATTTGTATTTTCAAAATATTAAACATAGCGATTCAAATAAGCTATATAAACAAAAAATTAGAAAAAACATTATAAAAAAAATCAAGATGGCTATTAATTTGTTTAAATTTCTACACAAAGAATGGCATTAGGTATATCGTTTTAATAGGGTAATTTATAGGATTGTTTGGTTGGATTAATATATGAAAATGATAATACCATTTTTATTTTTTATTTGTATTATCAGATTTATTATCTCAGGGTAAATATACACTAACAATTCATTTGGACATATTTTGAAATAAAACATTGAATACCTTCACTGACAACACAGTCGGAAAAAAAAGAAACAACCTCATATACAGCATAACTCGTTCCTCCCACAGAAAACTTACGATAAAATGAGAAAATCAGCCGGCTGAGCACCCACGAACCATAATTTTTCTGCTCCTATGATATTGCGTATCGTGACGATTATGCCTTTGCCTGGATATGGTAAGAAAAATCCACGAAGTTTTTGTTTATTGTTGAATTGATATATATTGTTGGTAGGTTTACCTGTAGATGAATAATAATACAATTTTTTTATTTTTTATTGTTCTATTTCAAAATTATGAGTGACATGCGTGAAATTTATGTGTATTCATTTACTTCTGCTTAATACGTTATAAGTAATAGAAAGATCAATATTGTTTATACTATCGTCAATTTCTTCCTACGTTAAAACATAGTTTAGGGTATGATCTATAAAATTAATCGAGGTGAAGGATGATTTTTTTATATTGTTAACTCTCCCCAGGGGGATAAAATCGAAGAACATAACCGTAAAACTGTTTCCGATAGCTCTGCCAAACCGCATCCTCCGGGTGTCGTGATGGTTAGCCTACAAGCCGCTCTATCGTAGTGGGGGCCCGAAGGAAGAAAGGGCAGACTCGGGCTCAGTACATCAGTGAGTTCAGACCGGGTAGGATGACTGTGTTATGATCAGCGGCTGTTTTTTTACGCGAGGAGCACTTTTTTGTGACGAAAGATTTTTTGAAGTGAAGTGCGGAAGGAAGCGATGGGCCCTTTCGCCCCCTTGTTATGCGTCCTGGTCGCCGCCGTCGCACCCGTCTTCGGTTTCAACATTGACTTACAGAGTTATGTGAAGTACGAAGGGCCGGAAAAATCGTTGTTCGGGTTCAGCGTTGCAGCTCTCGCCGACGGCTACGAACGATGGTAAGAAAATTTAAAGTAAAATCTCAGAAGAGCCTAATAATTTTTTTTGCCCTTAAAATCTCCATACCAACGTAAGGTCCAAATATTCCAGAAAATCATGACTTTTTTCATCGTAGACAATTTTATCTATTTATTGAAATAATCAGTGAAGTATATATGTTAATTTATACACCGTTTTAAAAGTTATTTGCAAATTTTCTCATAAAATTTGTAAAAATTCTGAAATGAAAAATATAGTCAAAACGCGCTAACCAAATCCAAAGTTTTCACCCAGCATCTGTCCAAAATTTGTCTGTTATTTCCACGCAAAAAAATTAAAAATTAACCAATAATGAACAACCAGACTTTAAATTTTTTTTCTTACAATAAACAAATTATTTTATAAAAAAAACACCAGCCTTTTTATTAAGTATATTTTCCCGAAATTAAGCAAAGTTTTCTGCCTGAAAGTCACATTATCATCTATTTGCCTAATGAATCTGCAATCATAGTTTATTTTCATAAACCTCACATCAAATAACTCACTTGAAAAGGGTTTTCAAAATTATTTAAAAAAAGTGAGTTGTACTATTTTCTTTTAAAGATTTTTAAAATTAACAAATAAAGCATAAACCACATTGAGCTGTGTTGATCAACTTGATAATTTTTATTCCTCTATTTTTGATTGTGATTCTTTTTCTTATTATAGAAGAAAAGATTCCTTTTGTTCAGCTTTTTAAGGCATTTATAAAATAATTAATAATTTCCAATTAATTACGTTTAAAAAGTCTACAAAAAGAAATTTTAATCTTAATCAGCTTTATAAATAACTACCTGACCGTATAAAACAAACAAACCCGCCAAGCAAATTAAAAAAAAGTAACAAAAATAAACTATAAATATGACGATTAATGGCAGATCACTTTTTAAAACGAACTAATCCAATATAATTTATTTTCCTTCATTTAGTAATTAATTTAAGTTAAATTACAATACTTTAAATTTATAAATTTTTAAATTGCATTTTTTTTTGTAAAAATTTTCATCACACTAATTCTAATAGTAAGTTGGATTATTGAAAAAAGTAAACAACCTAGCTATTACATTGGTTGACAGGGAACATTCTGCATTTACAAACAGAAAGATTTATATATTTAATGGGCAGCCACACTTTTTTTTATATGTAGAAAATGTAGACAAGTAGTAAATACGGTATTAAATCTGGTAGTAATAGTAAAGATGGCAGTTATTCAGTGTTTTCGACCTTTAAACATTTAAATAATAATTAAAATTAATATACTCCTGATTAAAATCATTATTCGTACCCAACGAATATTCAATACATCCAATTTTTTTGAGGTGAAAATTTTTTCTTTAGGTTTTTTTCTCAAATAAATTTTCTAGCATAAAATCTTAAAAAAATAATTGAACTATTTTCTAATTCACCAAACGGTGGGTACTGGTAAACGACCAATTTTTACGGGTTTATTCTTCAATAAAAACTTTTCTAGCCTAAAATAGTGAAAATGTTATTGAAGATTCGACCAAAAAATATCAGACGACCATTTTTTATCGAAAAATTAAGCTTCGGGGTTGTAGAATATACGAAAAACGGGCACTCCCAATTTAATAAAAATTAAGACCAGCACGCTAAAAAGAGAATAAATAGGTGAAATCATTACAAACGAATATGACAGGATGCTTTGCCAAAATCCATATTGGCTCATTCACAATTCGAAATTATAACAAAACGGAATTATAAGGTAGGATCAAACTTCTGAATTTTAATAACTGACAGAAAAAAAATCGGGAATTTTTCCAAATATTTACGTTTTGTACTAAACAATTGAAAAAGTATATATTTATTAGTAATTTTTATGTAAATTTTGTATTTTATTAAGGTATTGACACATCTGTCAGGAATAAAACAGTCAAATTGTACATTCCTTTGATTAAATTTAACAATAAAGTAAGTTACGTTTAAAAACAAAAATAAAATTGGGAAAAAAGTTTAGTGTTAGACAACCCGAGATAAATTTTCCAGCGGAACCTTCGTAAAATGTCAAACTACAGGTTCAAGGATTGTATAGAACTACGGTTAAGTCGTTTTTGATAATTTGGATCTGCATATCGTCAATGTTTTATTTTTTTGTCGAATACGTTTTGCCTTCTCGCTCTGTTCAGTTGTTCACAATTTTGGCTTAAACTTAATACTGACGATGGTAACTGGCTGAAAACCACCTGACAGGCAAAACCGTCCGGACGGGGTCAGACTACAGTCTCAAGGTAATTAGTCGCATAAGCATAGTTAAGTCGTTTCTGATCATTTTGATCTGCATGTCTTCTCTGTTTTGGTTCGTCGGAAAATGGCGACTAGGTGAAAAATAACTGACAGGCCAAAACGTTCGGAAATGGCTGCCCTATAGGATCAAGGGTTATATAGGAATATAGTTAAGTTTCTGATGATCTGTCCGGTGCGTTGTGGCTTCTCGTCCTCTTCAGTTGAACATAATTTTAGTTAAAAACACTGAAAACCTACGACAGACTTAAACTCTCAGAAATGCCCAAAAATTACAGGTTCACACATCATAATTTACAGAAAATGGAGTGAAAAATCCGCAGTTGTGTTGGAGCAAGGCAATAACTGAAAATTTGTACCATTTAAAATGACACAATTGCAAATTTGTTTCCGAACTGAAAAAATTTCTTCACGCGCCGGCCGGAACATGTTCGGATAAAACGTACATTCGGATTATAGCGTCGTTAGCATTAGAGAACTCAACTATCTTTAAAATAACTTGACAAAAATAGCTTCAATTGACACCTATCAGAAAACCGTAAGAGCCTGGAATAAGTTCTAAAATACTGGACAAAATGTTGAAAAATCACACGGCTGCAGGTTCAAAGAGTGAAAGTTTAAGAAAAGACATTTTTTATTATTAAAGGCTTATTAACAGATTACTTTTAAATGAGGAAATAAAAACGCATAAGCGTTGTTATTTTTAGTTTTCCATACCGCATCACTTTTTCACAAGGCATCTTATATAACAAACAACGCATGTACGTGAAAAACCTTTCCAAAGAATTTATTTTCTTAATATTTAAAAAAAATATAAGTATGCAACTACTGGATATTTCCAGTAGTTTAAGTTTTCCATAATGTATAATACATTTTGTAAAGTATTAATTATTTAACAATGCTATCTGGATGTAACTTGTCTAACCTAAATAGAAATAAAAATGATGAAAATAAACCATTCATGTTGTTTCATGGCGTCCAGAACCAATAAACCGTATATCTTCAACTTTTATTGACTGCCTTTTAATAAATGAATTTTAACTATTGGTTTTGTCAGACGGACGCCGTTCCTATCCCGTTGGCCTAAATTAGCCCTGTTTAAGTCCAACACACTATTATCATCGTGTCCAAGATTATATAAATCAGTCGAGATTTCATAAGGGTCGAAATGAAATCATTTACCAGGCTTCAATATTTGTTTTGTTAGTGGAACGTTTTGACGGATTTCATGGAACAGTTGTACACGAACGTCTGGAGTTTATTCATTACCGCAAGGTTGCTCGCGAAGCAAGGACGGATAACATCTGGACCGATGCAGATTTTTCACCTTTGTTCGAATAGATTAAGGTGCAGAGGTTCTAACCCAGTATGAATATGGTAATCGATATTTAAATTATCCAGTCCTTCGTTCGCTGAAAAAAAGGAAAATGCACGTGCTAATTTTTTTTCTTTTGAAATTTGTACAGAGCATTGTTGAATATTCTTGCTTATTTATTTGTTAGTCTATCTCAAGTAGAAAAATAAAGATTGTTAAGAATGCACCATAAAAGTTAATACAATTTTTAAAAAATCCCAATACCAACGAAATTTGTATAATGTCTTAATCATCAAAATCACTTGAATGTGTCTCTAATGATAAAATCAAAACATTTAATATAACTAAAACGCATTGTTGTAAATTTTGACATCCGTCGGACACATTTTCAGCTGATAGCGGAAAAATTTGCTGATACTCGGTTGAATAATTGCCTGGCATACCATTCTTGTGACGATAGCAAATTTAAATAGTTCACTGATTAAATGTTGTCTTTGTTATGGCGCAGACTGTCTAGTGTGATGTTCGCACTTGCATGGCAATCTCTTGGATAAGCGGACCCACAAACGTCAAAGGCACCGGATCATTCGATTATAATGAAAAATGTAGATGATGTATGCGAAAATGGATGGAAAATTTAGTTATACCAAGAAAAAATTTGTTTTTCAGCAAATTTATATACATAAGGGGACATTTTTTGACAATTTGATTTAGTTCAAACAGAGAAGAAAAGATTTCAGTTTTTGGCTATTTACGTATAGGAAATTATCTAAGTTACAGTGTAACATAATTCCTGGTTATCTCACTGATAACAAGCCTTATTGTATTTTTATTAAATTAGTACTCTTTCTTTCTAAAAATTCTCAGTATTGTGGATAATGAATTACTCGATTTTTTAAGCATTTTGATTTGTAGAAGAAAGTAAATAAATTCTGGCCATTTTGAAGGAAACAAGTCTTCATAAAATTTAACTAAATCGAGCAAGTTTAAAAAAAATTTCATATAAGGAAAATATCGAAATCGCTTCGCAAAATTTGAAAGTTTTAGTTAAATCAGACTAAACAAGGATACACACAAGAATTAAAGAAAATCTCAGAATTAAGCAAATATAGGATACCTCGATGTTAAAAACCGTTATTACGATTTTATTAAATTAGCAAGCTCTGTGTTTTTAATAATCTCATAATCTGTGAAAATTCAGAGATTTTTCACAATTTTTTTAGGATTTGATTAAATCAAACATTTTTATTAAATTAGGAAACCGTCTTTTTAACGTTTCGTACTCTTTGATAGCCACGGGCTGCCTTTTTTCAGAATTTGATAGGCTTTAGTTAAATCAAACTTCCTACGTCTTTTGGTATAGATATTGTGGTTATTTAAAAAGAAAACAGTTTCTAAATTGTTTCT